TGGGACTGGGCAGGGACTGGGCTGGGACTGGGCTGGGACTGGGCAGGGACTGGGCTGGGACTGGGCTGGGACTGGGCTGGGACTGGGCTGGGACTGGGCTGGGACTGGGCTGGGACTGGGGGGGGGTGGTAGCAGAGATGGGATGTGGGAAGGGGCCAGGAGGAAACCTGGCTGAGGGGGAAATCCCAAATTTCCCCTCAGATGTGTCCCTAAAATCTGACACCCCGACAGCACCCACGGGTGCTCGTGACCCTCGGGTGAACCCTCCCAGCGTGTGGGAGCCTAACCCTGCCCAGGGCCATGCCAAGGGGTGCAGGTGACCCCGGACACCCAGAAAACCTTTCCTGGGGGCACAGCCCAGCCTTTGTGGTCAGTAGGGACCCAGGTTTCCCTTGGGAAGGGCCTGGTGTCCCCTCTCTGGGGACGCCAGCTCCCAGAGCCGAGCTCTCCCCTCACGCTGGCCATGACTGATGCAGGAAGCCTCGATTAACACCCCTCAGGACACATCCATAATTGATGTGGGCCTGGGGGCTCTGCAGGGGCACCGCTCCAGCCTCCAGCCCCGGCCCTCCGCTCCTCTGCTCCTCTGGCCGGCGCTGCCAGGGAGCTGGGAGGGCTGGGACACACCCCAGAGCCACCCCAGAGCCACCCCAGAGCCACCCCAGAGCCACCCCAGAGCTACCCCAGAGCCAACCCAGAACCTCCCCATAGCCATCCTTCAACCTCCCCATACCACCCCAGAGCCACCCCAGAGCCGCCTCAGAGCTGCCCCAGAGCCGCCTCAGAGCCACCCCATAGCCATCCTTCAACCTCCCCATAGCCACCCCACAGCCACCCCACAGCCACCCCACAGCCACTCCACAGCATTCAGGGACCAGAGCAGCACCAAGCTGGGAACCGAGCCAGGGGACTCGGGGGTACCCTTGATCCTCAGACCAGAATCAAGCCAGGGATGGAGCCAGGACGGTCAGGTACCAGCTCAGGGCCCAGCCAGGGACCAAGGCAGGGGACAGGGACTGGATCAGGACCGAGGCAGGGACACAGCCGGGGTGTCAGGGACACAGCCGGGGTGTCAGGGACACAGCCAGGGTGCCAGGGACACAACCAGGACCAGGGCAGGGACACAACCAGGGTACCCAGGGACACAGCCAGGACCAAGGCAGCATGCTCGGGGACCCAGCTGGGATCAAGGCGGGGATGGAGCCAGGACGCTCAGGGACTGTCCTGGGCCCAGGGCCGTGTCCTGGCCCCGTGTGTCCAGCCCGGGATGGGCAGGAGCAGCGCAGGTGCCCAGCTGGGCACAGCCCGGCACAGCAATCCCCGGGGAGGATTCAATCCCGGGGAGGATTCCGGGGGATCCCGGCCGGGAGCTGCCGGGGGCGGTGGGGAAGGGGCTCTGGGGCCATGGCAGCCGTGTTCGTGGGGACACAGGCAGAGGGAGCTGTGCGGGAGGAACCGGCGGCGAGGCAGCCCCGGCTGCAGGGGAGGAGGCGGCTGCCGGCGCTCGCCCTCCTCCATCTCCGCATCCCTCCCTCGCTATGCCGAGCCCTCGCTGAGCCCCAGCGCCCCGGGGACCGCCATCCCCAGGGTGCCAGAGCCGCCACCCTCCCAGCACCCCGCCGGGGCCTTCAGCCTCGGCCTCCTTCCTTCCTCCTCCTCCCCCGCCTCCTCCCCTCACCCGCAGCCACCACCCTCCCTCCCTCCCTCCCTCCCTCCCTCCGTCCCTCCTTCCCCGGGGCCTGCCTGGCATGGAGGTGCTGGCCGCGGGGAGCCGGATGCTTCCCGGGGGCTGCACCCCCGGTGCCCCGCAGCCCCGAGCCCGCATCCCCCGGGCCCCGCATCCCCCCGCCCCGGCCCAGCCCTGAGCCGCCTCCTTTGTGCGGCGGAGCGGCCGGGCGGGCTCCGGCCCCCTCCGCACCCCCGGCCCGAGGGTGGCCCGCGGGCGGCCGGGAGAGATGCTGCCCTCGCCGGAGGAGCCCAGCGCGGGAGGTCGGCGGCCAGGAGCAGGTATGGGGCCAGAGGGGATGGGATGGAGCGCGGATGGTGCCCCGGGAGGCGGTCGCTTGTCCCCAGGATGCTCCTCACCCAGGGCCCCCGGGAGCAGGGGGACGCAGCGGGGACAAAGCCGCTGCCAGGATGTGAGGACGGACCCACAGCTCCCTGCTCCAGGGGCTGGGGGGACAAAAAATCCATCCGGATTTTCATGCTCACCTCCCCCGAGCCCTCTGTGCCTCAGCCCCAGCCGGCATCGCCCACCACGGTGTTCCCACCCCGCTGGAGCGCCGGGGAAGGATGGGGACCAGCGGCGCGGGCATCACCCTCCACCCGGCATCACCTCCATCCCGGCATCACCCTCCACCCGGCATCACCTCCATCCTGGCATCACCCTCCAGACCCATCACCCTCCACCCGACATCACCCTCCACCCGGCATCACCTCCACCCGGCATCACCCTCCAGCCCCCCATCACCCTCCAGACCCATCACCCTCCATCCGGCATCACCTCCATCCCGGCATCACCTCCACCCGGCATCACCCTCCAGTCCCCCATCACCTCCATCTCGGCATCACCCTCCAGCCCCCATCACCCTCCAGCCCCATCACCTCCAGCCCCATCACCCCACCCCCAGCAGCCCCCCCACTCTCCCCTCCATCCCCTCCCTCTCCGGGCAGAAGGGGAGCTGCCGCCGCTGGTGTTTTTGGGGCGGGTGGGCAGAGCAGAGCAGCGTTAGACAATGCCAGGGAAGGCTCCATGATGGGTGCAGGTGGCGGCGCCGGAGCAGCCCGGCGATGGTGCAGTCCCGCGGCCGGCAGCGGCTCCCGGCTCCGGGTGCCCGTGGCTTTTATTAGCGCAGCAATCGCTCCCCGAGCCATTCCCTCCCATCCTGCTCGTTGCCGTGGCGATGGGAGCGAGGGGAGGTTTGCGCAGGGGAAGGACCGGCCGGGACGAGGGAGCTCCGTGCGCCTCCCGATCCACCCGGGCCGGATCCTGCCGTGGATTTCGGCCGGGAAATTCGGGCTGGGGCTGCTCGGGTGCCCCGGGAGACGCGGGAGGGATCCAGGCCCGAGGCCCCACGGCACGATTCCCCCTCCCCGCGCTGGAAAAGCGCTTTCTCATCCCCCGGCCTCGCTTTGTGCCCGCCGCGGTTCGGGGTCGGGCCGGGCCGGGGTGGGGTTGATGCGGGAGGGTGTGTTTGGTAACGACCCCAAAACGCAGCCAAAACCAGGCTCGTCCTGGTTTTATTTCTGGCATGGATTGCTTGCCGTTGCTGATTTTTCCCTTAAAAAATGGTTTCCCAGCCTCGTGGCCCGGTTGTCCCTCTGAGGGGATGCTGAGCCACCAGGGACGCTGCCCTGGGGACCAGCAGGGATGGATGGAGCTCCCGTGGCCGTTCAGGGCTCACCAACTGGTGGCTATGGGATGCAGGAAGGCTCTGAGGGCTTTTAGGGTGGTGGGAAGAGTCCCTTGTGGGATATTGCAGCGGGATGGGCGGGGGATACTCCCACCGGGATACCGCCCTCGGTAAAAGCGTTGCCGTTTTCATGTTTGAATGATGAATGAATGAAAAATGAAAGTATTGCACCCTGAGGTGTGTTTGCACCCTCGAGGCTGGAGGGGACCTCGGCAGCCTCCTGGGGTGGATTTTCACTGGTTTATCCCATTTCACAGGGGAGAGGTTTCCCCCAGTGGTGGTGTGGAGGAATTTGTGAGTGGGGGATGAACCAGGTCCCACAGGGACCCTCACCCCCCCAGGAGGAGAGGCCACCACGTCCCCTGCATCGGACAGCCCAGGCCTGGATGAGCACTCTTGGGATGAATCCCTTTCCAGGCTCCATGGGCTGATCCAGCAGCAGTGGGTTGGCCTTCTCTTGGAGAGGGGAGATCCCAGCACCTGCTCCTGGTGCGGGGCACAGGGATGGTCCTGGCACTTGGGGACCCCTGATGCCTCAAGAGAGCAAAAGGCCACCCTTGCCACCTTCTGTGACAAGCTCAGGGCGGATGGAGCGAGATTCCCATGGGATGGGCACCTTCCTGGTGGCTGTGTTCCCCCAGATGGTTGTGAACCCTCCCGAGGGGTGGGAGCCTCCCCAGCCACTACAAATCTTCCCGAGGGTTCCTAGAACCACAGGATCATTCAGATTGGAAAAGCCCTCTGAGATCATCGAGTCCAGGAGCTGTGGAACTCCCCAGGGGCTGTGGAGCTTCCCAAAAGCTGTGGGTCTTCAGAAGGGTTGTGGAACTTCCCAATGGCTCTGGAGCTTTCCAGGGTTCTGCACATTCCCAGGGTTCTGCACATTCCCAAGGGTTCTGCATGTGCCCAGGGTTCTGCACATTCCCAGAGCTCTGCACATTCCCAGGGCTCTGCACGTTCCCAGGGCTCTTCAGGTTCCCAGGGTTGTGCACATTCCCAGGGTTCTGAATATTCCCAGGGTTCTGCACATTCCCAGGGTTCTGCACATTCCCAGAGCTCTGCACATTTCCAAGGGTTCTGCACATTCCCAAGGTTCTGCACGTTCCCAGGGTTGTGCACATTCCCAGGGCTCTGCACATTCCCAGGGCTCTTCAGGTTCCCAGGGTTGTGCACATTCCCAGTTTTCTGCACATTCCCAAGGTTCTGCACATTCCCAGGGCTCTGCACATTCCCAGGGTTCTGTACATTCCCAGGGCTCTGCACATTCCCAGTTTTCTGTACATTCCCAGGGTTCTGCACATTCCCAGGGCTCTGAACATTCCCAGTTTTCTGCACGTTCCCAGGGCTCTGCACCCTTTAGCCCCACGTGCCCTTCCAAGGGATGTGCGTGGGTGGGATGAACGCGGGAGGGTGGGAGGAACGCGGGAGGGTGGATGGGGCGCAGAGGGCACGCATAGAAGGACCAAGGAGGGATGTTTGGGGCCCCCCAGCCCCATATCCCCACCGCCCGTCTCTTGCAGCGCCCGGCAGCGCTCGATGCTGACCCTGCCCCGGAGTGCCGGATCCCCCCGCTGTGTGCCGGGCCGTGCCCACGCCATGTCCCCGCGGCGCCGCCGCCCCTGTGCCGGGGGCTGCCCGGCCATCCCCGCGTGCCCCCGCAGCCCGGGCGCCGCGCCGTGAGGGGTCCCGCCGAGTCGGGGAGCGCAGCCCGGGATGGCCTCGCTGGACCTGCCCTACCGCTGCCCGCGCTGCGGCGAGCACAAGCGCTTCCGCAGCCTGTCCTCGCTGCGGGCGCACCTGGAGTACAACCACACCTACGAGACCCTCTACGTGCTCTCCAAGACCAACAGCATCTGCGACGCCGCCGTCTTCCCGCTGGCCGCCGACGCGGCCCTGCTGAGCCCGGCCGCCCGCAGGGACTACTTCGAGAGCACCTCCTTCCAGGGCAAGGAGCAGCGCTTCTCCTGCGACCTGGTGCCCGCCGAGGAGCTGGAGCCGGCGCCGGCCTCGTCGCCCTCGCCGCGCTATGTGCACGAGATCGAGATCCCGCTGACCGAGCTCTTCGCCCGCGGCAAGGCCGTGGCGCCCGCGCCCGTCCCGCCGGCCGCCGCGGACGCGGCCTACGAGGAGGGCCTGGCCCGCCTCAAGATCCGCGCCTTCGAGAAGCTGGAGGTGGACAAGAGGCTGGAGAAGCTGACGGAGGAGGTGGAGCAGAAGATCGCCTCGCAGGTGGGCCGGCTCCAGGTGGAGCTGGACCGCAAGAGCTCGGAGCTGGAGAAGGCCAAGCAGGAGAGCCTGCGGCTGAGCCGCGAGAAGCAGGAGCTGGAGGACCGCGCCTCGGAGCTGTCCCGCCAGGTGGACGTCAGCGTGGAGATGCTGGCGTCCCTCAAGCAGGACCTGGTGCAGAAGGAGCAGGAGCTCACGCGGAAGCAGCAGTGAGTCCTTCAGCCTGTCCCGGCCCTGGGGTGGGAGGAGAGGGCACCGGGGGAGTCCTGGAGAACCTGTGCCTGCCCCATCCCCGGAGGGGCTCAAGGCCAGGCTGGACAGGGTTTGCAGCAGTGGGGAATAGTGGAAGCTGTCCCTGCCCATGGTGGGGGGTGGAATGAGGTCGGCTTTGGGGTCTCTTGCAATCCAAACAATTCTGCAAGTCCAGAGGAGCCCGGTACCACCACCAAGCCCCCAGGGCCGGGCTCAGGCACAGCCCCTCGGTGGTGCCCACCAGCATCCTCCCTTATCGGGTTCTGCACCTCTCCCACCCCTCAGTGCCCACACAGACCTGGGCTCCTCCACAGCTGGGTCATGGCAAGCCAGACCCTGTCCCAGGGTCCCCAGTGCTCCCAGGACATGGCCAGGCTGGGGATCCCTGACTGCTTTGGGCTGAAAGAATCTTAAATCCCACCTCGTTCCCACCCCATCCACGGCTGAGCCAAATTCCAGGTTTTTCTCCCAGAGGGAGGGCGGGGCAGCCCGAGCAGTGCCAGCTCCATTTGCTGTGAAGCCTGTGGCACTGCCATCCTCATTTCCACCCCAAATTCCCCACTCAGCACCCCGTGCCCACCCCAAATTCCCCACTCAGCACCCCGTGCCCACCCCAAATTCCCCACTCAGCACCCCGTGCCCACCCCATATTCCCCACTCAGCACCCCGTGCCCACCCCAAGGCCGCCCCTGAGCTCCCCCAGCCCGGCGCTGGCTCACGCTGCCCATCGGTGCTGTCCCAGCAAAGCAGACCTCGCCCCTCAGGGCTCTGGCACATCTGGAGTGGTCTGTGAGGAGCTTGTGGGGGACAGGCACGGCTGGGCTGGGCTGGGAGCACTGCTGGGTTTCCTGAGGGAATTGCTTTGATCCCCGTCATCCTCTGCACATTTGTGGATGACTTTGACTCCAAAATAATGACCTGGCTCAGAAACGGGGCTCCCGGGATGGGGGGATGTCCTGGGTGAGGAGCGGGGTGACCCTGGGGACACCTCCAGGTCTGGGGGACGTCTGTGGGACAGGCAGTGAGGGGTTTGGGGGCTGCCTCCTTGTTCAGGGGCACCCTGGGGATGTGTGGTGAGGGAATTAAGGACACCAGCGTGGATGGGTCTGGAGCAGGGCCTGGAGACAGCCAGGCAGGGTAAATAGAGGGTCAAGTGGCTCTTGGTGGAACCTGGACAATGTTACCACAGGAAACCCTGGGTTTATGCCCCAGAACTACCTCCTGAACCTCCCATTCCTTAGAGAAACCCTCCTGGCCCTCAGCTGTCCCCATCAGACCCCAAACTCCTCCACCCCAAGGGACAAAATCCCTTGTGAGGCTGCAGGGAGAGCATGGGAAGCGCTGGTGGCGGGGGGAGTTTTCTCCTGGATGTGAGGAGGTCATCAGAAATCATTTTAATCAGCCAAGCCTTCCCTGGAAACACAGTGGGAACATTTCCCAGCCTGCCAGCTCCAAGACACCACGACGTCCTCCTGGGAGACCTTTGGCTCCCGGGCTCCGTTTCCTCTGCCAGGAGTGTTTTTCCACCCAGCCCTCGGGAATGAGAGGGAGGCGGGTGATAACCATCAGCATCACCTTACAGCTGCTGCCCAGCTCCACATTTGCCTTCCAAATCCCCCGGGGCCCCTTCAGGATCCTTCCCAGAGCAGCCTCAGAGCTCCCAGGCTCTGCCTGCCAGCGGCAGGTGGGGGAGAAATTAATGGATAACTAATCGGTGATTAATTGGTAACTGATAGCCAGCAGTGGGAATTATGTCACTAAGAGCTGCCCCCTCCTTTGCCCTCGTGCTGCTGAGCAGATCAGATCCAGGTGTGCGGGGTCAGTGTGCAGGGCCAGGTTTGGTGCCCAGGTGTGCAGTCAGGGCTCGGAGGGCAGCGGTGTGCCCAGGTGTGCCCAGGTGCTGAGGGCAGCTCTGTGCCCAGGTGCCCAAGGCCAGGCAGGTGTGCTGGTGCTTCTCTGCTCAGGCTGGTGAGGCTGGCTGTGCCTGCTGCTGTGTCCGGGCTCAGGTGTGCCCCAGGCAGGTGTGCCAAGCTGGGTTTGTGCCTCTTCAGGGGCTCCTGGATGCGGAGTGCAGGTGTGAGAGCAGCTCTGTGGGTGTGTGAGCAGCCCCGTGGGTGTGTGAGCAGCAATATGGGTGCGTGAGCAGCCCCGTGGGTGTGTGAGCAGCTCTGTGGGTGTGTGAGCAGCCCCGTGGGTGTGTGAGCAGCCCCGTGGGTGTGTGAGCAGCCCCGTGGGTGCGTGAGCAGCACTGTGGGTGTGTGTGCCACGCTGTGTGTGTGTGTGCACCGGTGCACACCTGGGTGTTCCTGGAGGGAACACGTTGGGGTGCAGGGGTGCACTGGCCACGTGTGTCTGAGCCGTGTGGCCTCGCTGGTGTGTCTGTGCTGGTGTCCGTGGGTTCTTCCCTGGGTTTTGGGGAGCGGATGAGGACGGCGGGTGTCTGTGCTGGGCTGGGGTCAGCTCGGCTCACTGAGCTGCTGTCACGCGTTTTGGGGGAACAGCCCTGCTGCAGCCTCAGAGCCCCCGAGCAGCTGTTAATTAATGTGTTAATGAGGGAGCCGGGGCCCTGCAGGCACCGGGCTGAGCAGAGTTTGGGGTGTCAGTGCCATCCTCCTCCCTCACCCTGTCACACCATCACCACCCCCGGCCCTCTGCTCCATCCTGCTCCGGAGCGCGATTCCAGCCCCGGCAGTGATGGACGAGGTGCCGGGATGGCAGCTCCCCCTAAACCAAGGGACAGCTCCCCCTAAACCAAGGCGGCAGTTCCCCCTAAACCAAGGCGGCAGCTCCCCCTAAACCAAGGCGGCAGCTCCCCCTAAACCAAGGCGGCAGCTCCCCCTAAACCAAGGGACAGCACCCCCTAAACCAAGGCGGCAGTTCCCCCCAAACCAAGGCGGCAGTTCCCCCCAAACCAAGGCGGCAGTTCCCCCCAAACCAAGGCGGCAGGTCCCCCTAAACCAAGGCGGCAGCTGCCCCTAAACCAAGGCGGCAGCTCCCCCTAAACCAAGGTGGCAGGTCCCCCTAAACCAAGGCGGCAGCACCCCTAAACCAAAGTGGCGGCTCCCCCCTAAACCAAAGTGGCAGCTGCCCCTAAACCAAGGCGGCAGTTCCCCCCTAAGCCAAGGCAGCACCCACCCCCCGCCCGCCGGGACATCCCCCCACCCCTGTCCTGCCCCAGCCCCTCCTGGGCCGCCCAGAGCCGGACCGGACCGGGCCAGGCCTGGCACGGGACAATGCAGCCGCACTCGGGCCGCTCCCAGCCGGACGCGGGGCCGGAGGGGATGGGGGGACAGCCCCGGGTGTCACCGCGGGTCCCCCTGGCAGGGAGGTGCTGCAGATCGACCAGTTCCTGAAGGAGACGGCGGCGCGGGAGGCCAACGCCAAAGTGCGGCTGCAGCACTTCATCGAGGAGCTGCTGGAGCGCGCCGACCGCGCCGAGAAGCAGCTGCAGATCATCAGCAGCAGCTGCGGCACCACCCCCAACGGCAGCCTGGGCCGCTGCGGCACCCCGGCCACCAAGGGCATCGCCAGAGCGGCACCTCTGCGGGCACAGGCACGGCGGGGCTGCGGGAGCGCGCCCGGGGCTGCGGGAACGTGTCCGGGGCTGCGGGAGCGCGCCCGGGGCTGCGGGAACTCACCTCTGCTCCGGGAATTCACCCTCTGCTCCGGGAACTCACCCTCTGCTCTGGGAGTGCGCCCGGGGCTGCGGGAATTCACCCTCTGCTTCGGGAATGTGTCCGGGGCTGCGGGAACTCACCCTCTGCTTTGGGATTCACCCTCTGCTCCGGGAGCGCCCCTGGGGCTGCGGGAATTCACCCTCTGCTTCGGGAACTCACCCTGTGCTCCGGGAATGTGTCCGGGGCTGCGGGAACTCACCCTCTGCTCCGGGAATTCACCCTCTGCTCCGGGAATGTGTCCGGGGCTGCGGGAGTGCGCCCTGGCTCTCCTCTGCCCGGGCCCGAGCGGGGCGGTGCGGGGTCCCCATCTCCGTCCCACGGGGATGGGTGATCCTGGGTGGGGTCCCGAGGAGAAGCTGTTTCTCCGTGGGCCGGCGTTCCGGCGGCGCTGGTGCTGCCGGAGCGCCGCTCCGCATCCCGCTGGGGAGGGTGTCCCCCCGGAACGCACCGGGAGCCGGTGGGGAGCGGGTGCCCTGCCCCGGCTGCACGCCGGGTGTGCCACGGTGGCCCTCTTGTCCCCTGTCCCCGCAGAGAGAGCGGCACCCGGGCCCGGGGGTGGCCGCGCACGGTCCCTACGGCGTGTCCAACCAGCGCTCCTCCTCCAGCACCGGGTGAGTGCCCGGCCCGCCGCCGTTTTACCGGGAGGACGGGAGGGGGACGCGAGCCCTGACCGGCACATCCCGTCCCCAGGGCCTCGAGCCGGGCCAAGGCTGTGTCGCAGAGCTCGGGCTGCTACGACAGCGACAGCGCGGAGCCGTGTCCCGCGGAGGACGCGGCCGAGGCACCGCCGTTCGCGGCGCGGGGCTCGGGGCTGCGCCGCCAGGCCATCCACAACTGGCACCGCCGGCCCTACCGCAACAGCACCGAGGGCGAGGAGGGCGACGTGTCCGACGTGGGCTCCCGCACCACCGAGTCGGAGGCCGAGGGCTGGGAGCCCGAGGGGCCGGGCTGCGCCGCGTCCCGAGCGCCCGGCGGCTGCCGCCTGACCGGTGAGGGCACCGCGGGGCCGGGGCTGGGAGCCGTGGGACGGAGCTCCCCTCATCCCCTTACCGGCGCTCTCCCCCCGCACCAGTGGCCACGGACGCCGGGTGTGCCGCGGGCAGGCCCGAGGGGGCCGGGGGCAAGGCGTGCCGGCCGGAGCGGGGCAGCCCGGGCCACTCCAGCGAGGTGATCAGCCCCGAGATCCTCAAGATGCGGGCGGCCCTCTTCTGCATCTTCACCTACCTGGACACCAGGACGCTGCTGCGCGCGGCCGAGGTGTGCAAGGACTGGAAGTTCGTGGCCCGGCACCCGGCCGTGTGGACGCGGGTGCTGCTGGAGAACGCCCGCGTCTCCTCCAAGGTACTGGGGAGGGTGGGCACGGCCGGGCCGGGCCGTTCTTCAGAGGGGCACAGCGGGTGAGCCTCTCCTGTGCCGGGGGGGCTGGCATGGGGACACAGGGGGCACCTGCTCCGTGCTGGAGGGGCTGCAGGTGAATGCTGGAGGACAGGAGCTCACACCGGCACAGGTTTTCATGTGCTCTTGTGGTCATGCCCATGATTTTGTGGTCACGCCCATGATTTTGTGGTCACGCCCATGGTTTTGTGGTCACACCCGTGATTTTGTGGTCACGCCTGTGATTTAGTGGTCACGCCCGTGATTTTGTGGTCACGCCCGTGATTTTGTGGTCACGCCCATGAATTTGTGGTCACACCCATGGTTTTGTGGTCACACCCGTGGTTTTGTGGTCATGCCCGTGATTTTGTGGTCACGCCCATGACTATGTGGTCACACCCATGGTTTTGTGGCACATGCTCTGCCCTGGCCTGGCGTGTGCATCCCCACCCGTTTCTGCCACGTGTGTGCCCAGCGAGGGGCGGGTGGTGTGGGAGTGCTGGGGTGTCCCTGGCAGTGAGTGCCCCTCCTGTGCCCCAGTTCCTGGCCATGCTGTCCCAGTGGTGCACCCAGATGCATTCCCTCACCCTCCAAAACCTGAAGCCGCGCCAGCGGGGCAAGAAGGAGAGCAAGGAGGATTACATGAAGAGCACACGGTGAGTGCCCGTGTCCCTCTGTCCCCGTGTCCCCCTCCCACAGCCGGAGCTGCTGCAGCTCCCTGAGCCCCAGCTCCCGTTTGCATTATGAGCTGCGGGGCACGCCGGCCCCGCTGTGGGGTTTGGGTGTCCTGGGGGGACGTGTCACCCTCCTGGGCGGTGGCAGGAGGGTGAGCGGGGGCTGCTGTGCCTGAGCCCGGCTCCGTGCTGGCAGGGGCTGCCTGGAAGCGGGGCTGGAGTCCCTGCTGAAGGCGACGGGCAGCAACCTGCTGATCCTGCGCATCTCGCACTGCCCCAACGTGCTGACCGACCGCTCCCTCTGGCTGGCCAGCTGCTACTGCCGGGCCCTGCAGGCTGTCACCTACCGGTAAGGACGGCCACCGCGGCGTGGGGACAGCACCCCGGGCTGTGCTGAGCTCACCCCGTTCCCTGCAGAGCGCAGCCCCGGTGTCCCCAGTGCCAGCTGTCCCTGCAGCTCCTGTCCCTGCCAGGCTGTTCCTGTGCAGGTGTTGCGCCTCCAGCTCCATCCCCATCATCCCACTGCTGGTCTCATGACCGGGGTCCTGGCAAGGAGGCACCACTCTGGTAGAGAAGGGCGAGGAGGAGGTGCCCAGAGAGGTCCCTGCTGGCTGTCACCCCCCATGAACGGTCCTGGTGGAGAGAAGAGGCTCGGGGTCACTCTCTCCTGAGAGGGAGGAGCAGCTCTGCCAAGGGACAGCTGAGATTCAGCTTGGACACCTTGCCCTGAGGTCACGGAGACAAGACTCATGATCCTGGAGGAGGTCACAGGTCCTGGAGGGCATCACTGGCCACTCCTTAGTTTTGGCCACCTGTGGAGACAGGATTGGCCTTCCCTCCAGCCTCCAGGAGGATGATCCTTGCTCTGCTGCACCTGCAGACAACCTCCTCAGCCTCGGTGTCTGCACTCCGATTGCCCTGCTGCTCCTGGCACCTTGCTGCAGCACATGGGTGAGGCACCCGAGATAACACCCACCCTGAAGGTCTGAAGGGGACATTCAGACTTGGGAAATGCAGCCTCGGTCCCTGGAAGGCTCCTGGTGGGGTGGCACAGCCTGGGGACCGTTTGGGCTGGTGGCATCTCCTTGGGGCTCAGGACAAACCCACCCCTGCCCGGTCCCTGCCCGGCTCCAGCAGTGTCCCAGGGCCCTTCCTGCTACCTCCGAGGACACCAGCGAGGAGCACAGCAAACCTGCAGGGACATGTGGCCAAGAGCCGCCTACAGCCACGGTGGCACAGCCACAGAGCAGGGAGAGGCCACGGAGCAGCCCCTGCCCCTGGCTGGGGTGTCCTTCCACCCCTGCCACTGTCCCCATCCCAGCCAGGCAGGTGCCAAGGGACACCGAGGCGGTGTGACCTGCAGGGAGGGACAGGGACAGGTCCTGTCCCCTGTGGGGACACACGGCCTGGCAGCTTCAGCCACTCACTCGTCACCTTGGCATGTGAAGAGGCACCTCCAGAACCTTCCATGTTCTACCTCACCTTCATCCCTCCTGCCCCTCCTCACCTCTAGAACCTTCCAGGTTCAACCACCCCTTCATATCTCCTGCCCCTTTTCACCCCCAGAACCTTCCAGAACCTTCATCCCTCCTGCCCCTCCTCGCCCCCAGCCCCCGCTGCTGTCCCTGCTGCTGTTCCACCCGCAGGCACCATTCCAGGTGGGAATGGCCCATCCTGGAGCCCAGGGCCCTGCTGGGCTGCAGCCCATGCCCACACTGGCACCTCTGGGGGTGCAGAGCCGGCCCGGGGTGGCACCGCTGCTGCCGGGGCCACGGTGTGTCCCCGTGTTGTTGCAGGAGCTCCACGGACCCCGTGGGCCATGAGGTGATCTGGGCCCTTGGAGCAGGCTGCAGGGACATCATCTCCCTGCAGGTCGCCCCTCTGCATCCCTGGTAAGGCCTGGGGCAGAATGGTTTGGGTGGGGAGGGACCCTCCATCCCAGCCAGTGCCACCCTGCCCTGGCAGGGACCCCTCCCCCTGTCCCGGTGCTCCCAGCCCGGGCCGGGGGGTGGGAGGGCTCCCAGGGGTGGGAGGGCTCCCGGGGGTGCCGGGGCTGAGCGCTGTGCCACCCCAGCCGTTGTCCCTCGTGTCCCCAGCCAGCAGCCGACGCGCTTCAGCAACCGCTGCCTGCAGATGATCGGGCGCTGCTGGCCCCACCTGCGGGCGCTCGGCGTGGGGGGCGCCGGCTGCGGCGTGCAGGGCCTGGCATCGCTAGGTAGGCACTGCCCGGCTCACACAGCGGGGCCCGGGGTTGGGAAGGGTCCCTGGGGCCACCAACCCGCCCTGTGCCCCAGTGCCCACTATGTCACCAGTCCAGCACTCGGGATCACGGGTCACAGAACGGGTCACTGGGCTTGGGAAGGGTCCCTGGGCCACCAACCCGCCCTGTGCCCAGTGCCCACTGTGTCACCAGCCCAGCACTCGGGATCACGGGTCATGCAGAGGCTCTCTGGGCTTGGGAACAATCCCTGGGACCACCAACACGCCCTGTGCCCACCTTGTCTCAGCCCAGCCCTCGGGATCACGGGTCACAGAACGGGTCACTGGGCTTGGGAAGGGTCCCTGGGGCCACCAGCCCACCCTGTGCCCAATGCCCACTGTGTCACCAGCCCAGCACTCGGGATCACGGGTCACAGAACGGGTCACTGGGCTTGGGAAGGGTCCCTGGGTCACCAACCCGCCCTGTGCCCAGTACCCACCTGTCCCAGCCCAGCACTCGGGATCACGGGTCACAGAAGGGGTCACTGGGCATGGAAAAGGTCTCTGGGACTGCCAAGCCCACCGTGTGCCCAATCCCCCCGTGTCACCAGCCCAGGGGCACCGAGTGCCACCTCCAGGCATTGCCTGGACGCCTCCAGGGGTGGGGACTCCGACCCTCCCCGGGAGGGGGACGAGGAGAGGGCCCTGCTGCGGGCAGGGAGGTGCTCCTGGGGGTTTCCTGGAGAAGCCCACCCAGCCCAGCTCCGTGGTGCTCCCCCCTGGGCTCTCCTGGTCCCTTCCCGGGGCGCTGAGGGCTCTGTCCCCGCAGCCCGGAACTGCATGAGGCTGCAGGTGCTGGAGCTGGACCATGTGGCCGAGATCAACCAGGAGGTGGCTGCCGAGGTGTGCCGGGAGGGGCTCAAGGGGCTGGAGATGCTGGTGCTGACGTCCACCCCGGTGACCCCCAAAGCCCTGCTGCACTTCAACAGTGAGTAGCAGTGCCACGGGCACCCAGACCCAGGGGGCACGGTCCCTGCCAGCCCCAGCCACGGGGCTCTCTGGGGGAACAGGGACCCACATCCCCCACCAGGGATGGGCCAAGGAGCTGATCGTGCCTTGGGCCACAGAGAGGACGAGACGCTCCCCCCACTGTCCCTGGGGTAACCGAGGCCTCGGTGTGTGACACCCCTGAGGGTTGAGGCACCCCTGAGGGTTGGGCACACCTGAGGGTTGGGCACACCTGAGCCTGGGTCACACCCTCGGCTGAAGCCAGTGGCCAGGGCAGGAGGTCCACAGCCCCAGGAGAGCCTGTCCTGGTGGTCACAGCTCGGTGACTGTGCTGGAGGTGCTGGGAGCCCAGCCTGTGGATGGCAGGGTCCCCAAGGCAGCGGGGGGACACCAGTTTGGGACAGGGCAGCCAGGGCCGTGTCACAGCCCGTGCTGCTCCCTGCAGAGACCCTGGCCAGGCCTGCTCATCTCCAGGGTGAGGAGTCCCCACGCACAGGGGCCTTGAGGGGCACAGGGTGGGTCTGGGGTCCCTGCTGGCCGTGGGGAGCTGTCCCCAGGTGCTGTCTGTGCCCCCACCCCAGGTGTGTGCCGGAACCTGAAGTCCATCGTGGTGCAGGTGGGCATTGTGGACTACTTCAAGGAGCCCCACAGCCCCGAGGCCAGGAAGATGTTTGAAGAAATGGTGAACAAACTCCAGGTGAAGGCCCCCAGTGGCAGCTCACACGAGTGCCCCCAGCCCTGTGTCCTTGCCGTGGCAGGGGTCAGAAATGTCCCCTCTCCCTCCCTTGCTGCTTTTCGTCCCCAGGCAGGGATTGGGGATGCAGTTCTCCCTCTCCCTTCCTCACCCTGTGTCTTCCCTGAGGCAGGGATTGGAGATATCCCCCCTCCATCCTTCCCGTGCCCTGCCAGAGATTCCCTTCTCCCTTCCTCATCCCGAGGCAGGGATTGGAGATACCCCCCCATCCTTCCCCCAGAGATTCCCTTCTCCCTTCCTCATCCCGAGGCAGGGATTTGAGGTGTTTTCTGCTCTTCCTCCCTTCCCAAGGCAGGGATTTGAGGTGTTCCCTGCTCTTCCTCCCTTCCCCTGTTCCTTCCCAAGGCAGGGATTTGAGATGTGCTTTGTGTTTCCCATTCCCTGTGCCTCCCTCACCCCTGGCAGGATTTGGGGCATTTCCCCTTTCCCTCCCCAGCCCTGGCAGGATTTGGGGCATTCCCCCTCTCCCTCCCTCAGCCCTGGCAGGATTTGGGACATTCCCCCTTTCCCTCCTCAGCCCTGGCAGGATTTGGGGCATTCCCCCTGTCCCTCCCTCAGCCCTGGCAGGATTTGGGGCATTCCCCCTCTCCTCCCCAGCCCTGGCAGGGTTTGGGGCATCCCCCTCTCCTCCCCAGCCCTGGCAGGATTTGGGGTATCCCCCTCTCCCTCCCCACGGAGCAGTGGCACCGTGGCTCCCCCAGCCCCGCTGTCTGCTCCTCTTGCAGGCCCTGAGGAAAAGACCCGGCTTCTCCAAGATCCTGCACATCAAGGTGGAAGGAGGCTGTTAGCCCTCCAGGGACCCCACAGCACAGCCCGCGGCCCTGGGCACCAAACCCGGGTGGGGACCCCCGGCTGGAGCCCCAAACCCTCGCGGGCCCTTGGGACCGGCGGCCGGGGCCAGAAGGTGCTATCAAGGACAATTTTGGGCTGCCCCGAGAGCCAAGAGCTCTTTCCCAGGAGGGAAGACGGCTTTGAAGGCCAAGGATGCGTGTTTGGGGTCCCACTGAACTCTCTTTGGGATGGCTCAGCCCATCTCGGGGTCTTGGCTGGGCTCGGCCCACAGCCCCGGCCTGTCCGTGGGGTGGGGAGGGGCTGCTCCTCCCCAGCATTCCCACAGGGTTTCTGCTCCTTTTTATTTGGGATTTGGCAGAGGGGCACCCAAAGCCGGGGAAGCAGTCCCAGAAACCAGCACACCACAGCACAAGGAGCAGAGCTGCACCTCGGGGCTCGGGGAGCACAGGAGAGATGGGCGCTCTCCCAGAGGTCTCCAGCCCCGCTCCCTCTCCACCAAAACCCTCCTGCCAAGGCAATAAACCAGCTGCAAAATCTTCATCCACCAGGAAAGGGGTCACCATCCTGTCCCCACCATCCACGCCCGGACTCCATCCGGGCTCAGATGTCCCGTGTGGAGAGAGAGACTGTCATGGGACACCCCCGTTTGCCTTCCTGAGCAGCCTGAAGGAGAAACACTGGCCAGATTGTCCTGAAATTATCCTGGCAAAAGCACCAACCAACAGCCCTGGCTGACCCTTATCTACAGCCACCATTTTCTAAATCTGATTTTTCTTCTGAGTGTCCTCAGCCTGCAAGGACATCCTCATCCCCAGAACATCCTTCTTCCACGGGAACAGGCTTTGGAAAGGCATCCAGTGGGGTCAAGCATCTCCATCCTGCACCCTGGGGAGAAGGTACCAGGAGGTGGCCCTGGCACTGGGGACACCCCTCAGAGCACTGCCAGCAGTGGGGACACCCCAGCCTTACCCACAGCCCCAGCCCCGTGTCCTGGGACCCCTTGGACGGGGCTGAGCGGAGAGGAAGCGGCTGGGAAAGTGGATTTGGGGCTCTCCCCTCTTCTCTGGCCCAGCGCTGGAGGTTTTGGTGCCTGGTGGCCAGCGTGGCTGTGAGGGGACACCTCGCAGAGCCCGTCCCCACGTGGAGCGTCCCCCGGGCGGGACCGGGCTGCAGATCCAGCACCACGTCCCTCACCCACGGCACGAGAGCTGCTGCCCTCAGCTGGGGCTGCCACACAGCCCGTGGGGTCCCCAGAGCAAGGAAAATCACCCCCAAATGGCCGAGGCTGGTGTGGCTCTGGAGGCAGCTCCCAAACTCCAACCTGGAGACCCTTCAGCCACCCTTCATCCCACCTGCGCTGTCTGCTCTGAAACAGGGGCAGGGTTTTGTGGCCACAGCCCCCGTGGGCAGCAGCCCTGCTCCCCCTCCATGCAGCTTTCCAGGAGAAGGCTGGCCCTGAATGCACAAAATGAGAGTGAAAACGCCTGCCAGAAACTCCTGCACCCCACGGATGAACCCTGGCAGCGGGACCAGCTCCCTGCCGTGCCCAGCGCGGGTTTACCTCCACCTGAGCAGCCTGGCACACTCCCAGTCCAGGGGCAAGAGCAGCAAGGGATGCCTCGAGCAGCAAAACCCACCCAGCAGAGCTGCCGGGTCCCCGGGGACCATCCAGCCCCGTGCAGGAGCGTGGCCCGGTGGAGATGGCACCACCTCCGTGCCGGGCCTGTGGAATTCCCTTAAAAACAAAACAAAGTACGTATTTATTTCTATAAACAGAAGAAGGAAAAAGAAACAAGAGATTTTAAAGGAAAATTATATACTCAGCATGTTTGTACACTCTGTGCTTAAAGACTCTGGTGGCCCAGAGCGGTGGCCCAGGCCTGGAGGTGGCTGCTCCGGGTGTGCCGGTGCCTGGAGCCTCTCCCGGGCCGTGGGGAGGGTGAGGATGAGGTGATGGAAAGGGGGAGGTGTGAGGACTCTCAGAGGGTCAGTGCTGCGTGTGTGGTGGGTGTGTGGTGGCGTTGGTGACTCTGTGACATCCCCACCCCTGCGCTGCCCCCGGGGCTTTGGAAGTCACGGCAGGACCCTCACCTGGACTCGGCAGGACCCTCACCTGGACTCTGCTTTGGTGCATCCCCAAGACCAGATCAAACTGTCACCTCTCCTTGGGGCATTCCCGAAAATCCCAGCTCAGCAAAGCCACTTTTTACAAAAATCCTCGGATGACACAAGACCTTCAGCGGGTTCAAGGATTAGAAGATGGAAAGTGGGGGTTTCTCCCTGTTTGGCTTGGGCTTGAATGGATCCCTTCCTCATCCTCCTCCTCCTCGGCTGGGGATGAAGGCGGCTGGCACAGTGACAGGAGTGCTGGGCAGGAGGGCCCTGCTGGTGGCTCCTAATTGCCCAGCTTGTTAATGAGCTCATTAAGGGCTCTGAAATGTCAGAAGGATGCTGCCCCTGCTGCTTTCTCTGCCCTGTCCCGCAGGAGTGTGGCCCCATAAGGATCCATCCCCGCAGGAGCTCCGGCCAGGCTGTCCCTGGCTCACGGCGCCTCAGCCCCATTTCCTCTGAAGTGATGGGAATGCCCACAAATCCCGAATTTCCTGGGAAAGCCTTCAAACCACGCAGCACGTTCAGCTCAGCCCCTGAGGAGAAGTGCCAGAGGGGCTCTGCGATGACAATCCCAGAAAACTGCACGGATCCGAGAGAGGACTGGGGTCACAGCGATGGGCAGAGCTGGCCGGGCGGGATGGACGGTGGTTCTGAGCCTGGCTCCTGCAGGACCGCTTCTGGGGAGATTTATTCCTTTTCTACGGCGTTTTCCCAAAGTTTCCCCGTGGCTGACACTGCCAGCATTCCCCTTCACCCGAGTTCGGGCGCTGGTCAGGGATTCCGAGAGGAACATCACCAAAGGCAGCTCGGGGGCCAAAGCCATCCCAAATCCTGTTTGTGTGTCTCCCTCGTGTTGGATTTCCCTCGTTCCATCACTCCAAGCCGCAGGAGCTCTGGGGATCAGGGGCCTCCTCCTGCCTTATCCCTCTGCCTTGGGGCTCCAGGTGTCAGGGATGAGGGAAAAGGGACACCCAGGCTGGCTCTGCCCCACCAGGATTTTAAACCTCTTTGTCCCTCTTCTTGCCGTGTGTCCTGGTCCCTGCTGCCACCAAGGGCAGGGCCATGGCAGGGGCTTGTCTCAAAAAGAGCCTGGATTTAGGGAAAACAGAACAAAAACCAACCCAGGAGAAGTGATGGTAATGGCTCCAAAAGTGGTTAACAGATGTTTTCCTTCAGCTTTTAGGGGAGGCCCCAGCCCAGGAGCTGGAGCATTGTTCAGCCTCATTTTGGGGTGAGAAACAGCAGGTTTGGGTGGAGCAAAAGCATTTGGGAATTGGTGCCAAATGAGGAAGTGCTTGAAAAGGTAAAGATCCCAGGGAGATTTTGGGAAGCAGAGGTGGTTTGTTGTGACTGATTGCAGGGTGTTGTGAGGTGGTGATGGACCTTCCCCATCAGTGGGAGGCAAAATAATCCCTGGGGAGGGTGGGAGAGCACTGAGGAAAAGCTGCTGCAGCAGCGAGGAGGGAAAACTGCCCAAAAGCAAGGGAAAAAAAGGGATTTTCTAATGCAGCCTCGGGATTGAGCCCCGTGGAGGGCAACGAGGCAGGTTGGGGCCGGGGACAAGTGGGTGCAATGGTGTGGGGCAGTTTTTGGGATGCAAAGAGGTAATGCACAGTTGCTTCGAGATAATCAGAGGAGATAATCAGTGCAGAGAACAGAGATATATAAATCAGGAACTGGAATCATTCCCTACAGCCCTGGATGGCAGCGGTGTACAGCGACCTCCCCTCCCCCGAGGTTCCCGTGGCCTCCCAAGTTATTTTTTTAACTCTCTATAAATTTAGGTCTATTTTAGTCTTTCCGCAGCGATGTGCCAGTGTCTGGAGAACCAAACGTCCCTTTCTGCCCCCACCCCGTGGTCCCTGGATGCTAAACTGGGCCTTGGTGCGAGAGCTGCCGGAGCAGTTCCTGAGGGGAGCGCTGGGATGGGGCAGGGCAGGAGCTGGAGCCTGGGGCAGGAGCCAGGGCTCCGGCCAGCAGCCCGTGGGTTTAGCACTTTGGTTGGAACTCTCACCTGTAGACGCACTTTGATGTTGTTGCTTTGAAACTTTGGCAAGTGTAAACCATGTGTATTTAAAGAATTACAGAGAAACGACCCCCAGCAAAGCGTGTAAAGAGCTATTTTATGATTCAGTGTTGAATAAAGACTCTGGAGATCGAGCTGGGTGTTCACTCTCCTGGGGAGCACACACCAGTGAGACCAGTTGCTGTTTGACACCCTCTAACCCAAACCATCCCACGATCCTGTATTTCTTTTGCTGTCCTCCTCCTCACTTGTAACCATACCCAAGTCTCCCCACTTTCTCCCAGCACCATTTTCCTCTCTGAGTCCTCCCAAATGCCTGGACCCATCCTTGGAGCTGTCAGGCAGCCGCTGCCCTGAACCTCCTTCCATGAAGCAAAATGGAAAGTGAAAATACCCCATTGAGCAGAAGCCAATTAAAATGTCACTGAGCAATATCCAAGAGTTTCAAGCACACGCAGAGGTGCTCCATTCTAGAAGCACTCCTGGCACATGCCTGGAGCCTGCCCTGCTCTGCAGCACAGCACCTGCTTTGAAACGGGCCAAAAACCAGCCTGAAGGGCTCGTTTTTAACCCCATGCAGAATGAAACAGAGAACAGAGGACAAGCCCAATCTGCCACTGAGACAAACTGGTTTTATTGTGCTGGAGCCTGGCTTCAAACTGCCCAGCAGAACAAAACACAAACCAGTATAAATAGGCCCCAAAGACCTCCCTGCACTGGAGGAGGGAACTGTCTGGAGGAGGAAACACCCCCAGGGAGGGAAGGGTCCTGAGGAGCGAAGGCTCCTGAGGAGGGAATGCTCCTGAGGAGGAACACTCCCAGGGAGGGAAGGCTCCTGAGGAGGGAAGGCTCCTGAGGAGGAAACACTCCTGAGGAGGGAACGCTCCTGAGGAGGGAACGCTCCCAAGGGAGGGAAGGGTCCTGAGGAGGGAAGGCTCCTGAGGAGAGAACGCTCCTGAGGAGGGAACGCTCCTGAGGAGGGAAGGCTCCCAGGGAAGGAATGCTCCCGAGGAGGGAAGGGTCCTGAGGAGGGAAGGCTCCCAGGGAGAGAATGCCCAGGCCAGGGAGGCAGTGCAGGGCAGGGCAGGGCAGGGCAGCTCCAGGGCTGCAGGAGCTGCCCGTGCCCGTGGCTAGCCCGGGGCTGCCGAGCCCGGGGAAGGGAAAGGTGAAGGAGCAGCCCCCATCACGGCGGTTTTACCGGGCGTTCACTCAGTGGTTGTGGGGCCGGGCCCGGCCGCGGCCGCGGGGAGCAGCACCGGCGTCCACGGTGGAGCGCGGGTTGCGGATGGTCTCGTCCACGGACACGATGAGGCACGCGGCCTCCGAGGCGGCCGTCAGCGCGTTGATGCGCACCACGGCCGGCTCCCACACGCACGCCGAGAAATTGTCAGCTATGTCCTCGTTGGTCACGTCCACGCCGTACCACATCCCGCCCTGGGGGACAGAGGGACAGCATCAGTGCCTCAGTGCCACATCCCGCCCTGGGGGACAGAGGGACAGCATCAGTGCCACATCCCGCCCTGGGGGACAGAGGGACAGGATCAGTGCCACATCCCGCCCTGAGGGACAGGATCAGTGCCACATCCCGCCCTGGGGGACAGAGGGACAGGATCAGTGCCACATCCCGCCCTGGGGGACAGGATCAGTGCCACATCCCGCCCTGGGGGACAGAGGGACAGGATCAGTGCCACATCCTGCCCTGAGGGACAGAGGGACAGGATCAGTGCCACATCCCGCCCTGGGGGACAGGATCAGTGCCACATCCCGCCCCGGGGGACAGAGGGACAGGATCAGTGCCACATCCCGCCCTGGGGGACAGGATCAGTGCCACATCCCGCCCTGGGGGACAGAGGGACAGGATCAGTGCCACATCCTGCCCTGAGGGACAGAGGGACAGGATCAGTGCCACATCCCGCCCTGAGGGACAGGATCAGTGCCTCAGTGCCACATCCCGCCCTGAGGGACAGAGGGACAGGATCAGTGCCACATCCTGCCCTGAGGGACAGAGGGACAGGATCAGTGCCACATCCTGCCCTGAGGGACAGAGGGACAGGATCAGTGCCACATCCTGCCCTGAGGGACAGAGGGACAGGATCAGTGCCTCAGTGCCACATCCTGCCCTGAGGGACAGGATCAGTGCCTCAGTGCCACATCCCGCCCTGGGGGACAGAGGGACAGGATCAGTGCCTCAATGCCACATCCTGCCCTGAGGGACAGGATCAGTGCCACATCCTGCCCTGAGGGAGAGAGGGACAGGATCAGTGCCACATCCCGCCCTGAGGGACAGAGGGACAAGATCAGTGCCATGTCCCACTCTGGGGGACAGAGGGATGGGAATCTGTGTCAGGAGTGCCACATCCTGCCCTGGAGGACAGAAGAACAAGGATCAGTGCCACATCCTGCTCTGGAGGACAGAGGCACAAAGGGATCAGCACCCCATCCCACCCTGTGAGGACAGAGGGGACAAAGGGGACGGGGATTGGTCAGGGGCTGTGTGGGACTTGGGGAAAGCCTGGGAGGGAAGGCCAGGCAAGGTGAAGGGAAAGGCTGGAGCCTCCCCCACATTCTGCTGTGAAGGAAAACACAAAAAATCCCAACTGAGCAGTCTTTGCTTTTAGCCACCAGTGCCAGCGGTGCCTCATGAAGAGGAGGCTCCTTCCAGTTTAGCATCACAGAGTCACTGAGGCTGGAAAAGCCCTCCCAGACCATCCAGTCCCAGCTGTGCCCCAGCCCAGAGCTCTGAGTGCCATCTCCAGCCCTTCCCTGGACACGTCCAGGGATGGGGACTCCAAACCTCCTGGAGCAAGCCCCTTCCATGAAGCTGCAGAAACCTCCCAGGCCTGGCTCCCCTCTGCTGCTGCCCCACTGCTCATTTCGGGGCACTCCCCCCAGCCCCACCGCCACAGCAGCAGGGTGAAATGTGCTGGGAGTGACAGAACCCAAGGGGCAACCTCCAAGCCCTGGAGCTGGCATCTCCACAAGACCAGCACTCAGGACCTTCAGCCTGCAGCTCCTGCGCAAAATGCTCAGCTCAGCCGCCTCCTGCACTCTGCCTCCCTTAATGTTTAACACAGCAGCTCCTTCCTGACAAATGATGGTTTTTAAGGAGCAAATGAGAACTCCCAGCTCAGGAAGTCACCCGACAGCTGGGATCAAAGGGAAAACAGCTCCTTTCCATTTACAGCAACCTGTGCCAGGCCCACAGCTGATGTGAAACAAACAGGGCATCTAACCAAAGGGGACATGGCTCCAACACAGACTGGGCTGAGCTGCCCCGGCTCTGACAGACTCCAGGAGGGAACTCGAGAGAGCAATCCCACACATCCTCTGGGATGCCTGGTGTCTTAGGCTGAAAGCTGTACCCGGGGGTGTGTGTTCTATTCCAATCTGCCAGAGATGGGGCAGGTATCTGCTGTTCATTGGGCAGTTTTATTTATCTCTGCCACAATCCATCCTCCCACCAGGAGATCTCTTCTGGTCATGGGCCATTAATTATTAATTATCTCCTGTTCATGGCCAGTGAGTGTCCCTGCATGGCTGAGAAAATTCCATCATCCCATGGGGAGATGCCCCACCCAGGGGAGGAGCCAAACATTCCTACCTGGATCCAATCTGACCTGGGAACAGCACAGCAGCCTTTTCCCCCTGCATTCCCAGAGGAGCAGCTTTCTCCCCACTGCATTCCCAGAGGAGCAGCTTTCTTCCTTCCCCACTGCATTCCCAGAGGAGCCCAGGCCCATCTCCCCCAGCCCTGGAGCTCCAGAGGAAAACTCCCCCCTTGTGCAGGATCCTGCTCCAGCAGAAGCACAGCTGGCACTGCAGGAGGCTGAGCCACCCTGGGATGGGGCTGCTGCCACCTCCCTGACCCACAGGGGACAGGGCTGCTCTGACTCTGGCAGGGGTTTGTTTGTACTATTGCATTGGTATTTTTCAGTTTCCTAGTTAAGAACTGCTATTCCTGCTCCCACACCTTTGCCTGACAGCCCCCTAATTCCAAAACTATAATAATTGGGAGAATTGTAACAATTTTCCCTTTCAGGGGAGGCTCTGCCGTCCCCAGCACACACCTGGCCTCTCACACCAGAGCCCGGCCCTACCTGGGCGTGCTTGGCGCGCAGCTTGTTGAGGATGTTGGTGGCGTCGAAGCCGGCGTTGTCGCAGAGCTGCCGGGGGATGATCTCCAGGGCCTTGGCGTAGGCGCCGATCAGCAGCTGCTGCTTGCCCGGGATGGTGCGCGAGTAGTCCCGCAGGAACTTGGAGAGCTCCATCTCGATGGCCCCGCCGCCCGCCACCACCGAGTCGTTCTGCAGGGCCGGGCACAGCGCAGGGCTCGGTCAGGGTCAGGGCGCCGCGGCACGGCACCCACAGTAACCCACAGCAACCCACGGCAACCCACGGCAGCCACGGGCCTGGCCACGGCAACCCACGGGCCTGGCTGGCCACGGCAACCCACGGCAGCCACGGCAACCCACAGCAACCCACGGGCCTGGCCACAGCAACCCACAGGCCTGGCTGGCCACGGCAACCCACAGGCCTGGCCGGCCACGGCAACCCACGGGCCTGGCTGGCCACGGCAACCCACGGGCCTGGCCGGCCACGGCAACCCACGGCAACCCACAGCAACCCACGGGCCTGGCCGGCCACAGCAACCCACAGCAACCCACAGCAATCCACGGGCCTGGCGGGCCACGGCAACCCACAGCAACCCACAGCAATCCACGGGCCTGGCGGGCCACGGCAACCCACAGCAACCCACGGGCCTGGCTGGCCACGGCAACCCACGGCAACCCACGGCAGCCACGGGCCTGGCCGGCCACGGCAACCCACGGGCCTGGCCGGCCACGGCAGCCATGGGCCTGGCTGGCCACAGCAACCCACAGCCCTGACTGGCCGTGGCAACCCACAGCCCTGGTGCTGCTGTCCCTGGAACTGTCTGACAGCAGAGGCAAGGACTTGCCGAGCACCTCCAGCAGCAGCTCCAGCTGCTCAGCCCAGCTGTGCAGAGGATAAAGGGGGGTTTGGGGACACTGCACCCAAAGGGAGGGATGGCAGCTCACAGCCAGCTTGGGCCAGGAAACTTGCTCACTGCCACAAAGCATCCAAAACTAAAGATAATGGCGGCAGCACCTTGCAGCTCAATTCTGCTGCTTTTCCAGGAGACAGATCAGGATGTCCTTTCTAAAAGCAATAGCTCCACAACTCCTGATATGCTTCTCCCCAGCCCCTCAGGACATGCAGCCTCAGAGCTGCTTTTACCCAGAAGCCCTTCCTACAGTGACACGTTTTTGTGTAACCCAGAAACACCCAGAGCTTGGCAGCATCACCCAGGATCAGACACACATCCAGAGAACCCCTGGACTTCTCCTGGTGCCCCCAGCCTGCCCTCAGAGCCAGGGAACTGTCATGCCCTCAGACTGGGCACCACAAGAGGGGCTCTATGGGCATGGAGACACATGTGCCATCAATCTGCTGTTCCATCTCCTGAAGATGCACCCAGCACAGCCAGGAGACTGCTTCCTTTAGGGTGGAAGATGGAGCAAGCAGGAGGTACAGCTGCACAGAAGTGTGCCTGGAAAGCAGCTGCAAACGCTGCCAAAGCCACGCTGAGCCGGCCAAGGAACTGCACTTGAGGGAATCCATGAGCTGTGCTCACGCTGCACAGAGCCCCAGGCAAGGCCTGGTGTGTGAGGAGGTTTCCAGCAGCCCTGGCAGGGCAGGGCAGGGCAGGGCTCACCTTGATGGCCCTCCTGACGATCATGATGGCGTCGTGCAGGGAGCGCTCCGTCTCCTCCATGAACTGCTCGGCGCCGCCGCGCAGGATGATGGTGCACGTCTTGGCCTTGGGGCAGCCCGTGAAGAAGTTGTACCTGCCACAGGGAGGGCGTGGGCATGCAGGAGCTGCTGCTGGACAGGCAGGGTGGGCACTGAGCCAGCCCTGCAGCCCCAGCGGATCCTGAGCCAGGGAACACACAGGTGATGTCCCAGATAATGCAGGAAAATCCGTTCTCTTCCTGCTGCAGGGATCACACTGAACTGCTGCTCCCAGTCTGCACCCGGCAGCAGCCAGCCCCAAACAGGACTGATCCTCCAGCAACTGGAATCCCAGTGTACTGTCCCCAGCTTCTCCTGCACTGACAGGGAAATGTCAAGCTGGAACATCACAGAAGTGCCACAATCAACCCCAAAATGTGGGGATTTTCCATTACAAATTCAACACTACCACTGTGCTTTTTACAAGGCACTGCAGAATAAACATGTACTTTTAAAAGTTTTTACAAGAGGTAGATCTCAATGAAATCTTGCTCCTGCCCATCCCCCAGCCTCAAAAAGCAGCTTCTGGCTACAATAAAATATACATTTTGTAACATCCTTATTTTCATCTTAACAGCTTGAGGGATGTTGACCCGATGCTTTGAGCCCAGCTTTTCCACCTGCTACAAGAGGGCTTGCACAGCACCCCAGGTCTGCAGCTGGCGTTTTTACCTCTCTCCCCCGATCTGAGTCTCCTCAAAGAGCTCACAGCGGCCCAGCACATCATCCGACAGGGCATTGACACTGGTCTGGATGGATCCCCCACAGGCCTGCAGGAACAGGGACAAACACAGCATTACCACTGCTGACAGCCCACACCGGCCTCCCTGCAGGCTGCACTCCCCAGGGACAGCCCAGCTGCTGAGCTGGTGCAAACCCATCCTGCAGATTCAGGAAAACCCTTCTCCCTCCCTCCCTCCCTCCCTCCCCTCTCACGGACCCAGGCCAACCCTTGACAGCAAAATAAGTCTGTGCAGCTTCAAGGTGCTGACTCAGGCTCCAGAGCCCAGGAGATACACAAAGAAAGCTCAGGAAAAATACCACTCATGATGGAACAGGGGAGAACTCGGGAAAATAAACCTCTACTGATGCACTGATCAGATCTTTACATTACCACCAGGCTGTCAGGGTGTGACTGCTCACCCACCACGGAACAGCCTTGTCCTTTCAAACCCTTGTGAGGAGCGGTGAGATCAGTGAGCAGCTGCTTGGGAATGCCTGGTCGGGGGTGTCAGAACTGAGCCCAAAGGCTTTCCCCCGAGCCAGGGGAGCTCACCATCATGGTCCTCTTGAGATCCTCGTCCGGGACGCGGCCGGCGCAGAACATGTCCCTGTCAGCGAAGTACTGCGTGGCCACGTCCCCAATGGGGAGCTTGGACAGGACCACCTTGGCTCCTGACTTGTGGATCTTGTCCAGTTTGTCGTACAGGATGTTCCACTCTGCGTCCACGATGGCCTGGTAATCCTGGCAGGAGGACAGGGCACAGATGTTCCTGTGCCAGGGGTGCCCCGGGTGCAGCCCTGCCCCAGAGCTGCTCCCAGCACTGCAGGCAGGAAGGCCCTGCCCCGTGGCACTGCCCAGATGGTGCTTCAGGCCCAGGAGCTCCTGCAGCCCCCCAGGCACTGCTGGACGAGCTGTCCCTGCAAGGCCAGTCCCGAGGCTAAGGCAGTCAGCAGAGCTGGTGGCTCTGCACAGCTGGGGCACAGTGACAGCTCACAAACGTGTCCTGACCCTGCTGTGCCTCCCAGGCTGCTGGAGCCTCCTTCCCACAGCGCAGCACAGCCCACCCGGTGTCTCCAAAGGGGAAGGATGGGCAGGAGGCAAACTCATTTATCATGGAATGGTTTGGGTGGGAACGGACCCTTTAAAGGTCACCCAGTGCCACCCTTGCCATGGCAGGGACACCCTCCACTACCTCAGGCTGTTCCCAGCCCTGTCTAACCTCAGCTTGGACACTCCCAGAGATGGGGCAGCCACAGCTGCTCTGGGAATTCCAGCCCAGCCCCTCCCCACCCTCCCAGCCAGGAATTCCTTGCCAAGATCCCAGCCCAAGCTCCCCTTTCCCAGTGGGAGCCATTCCCTGGCTCCTGTCCCTCTGTCCCTTGTCCCCAGTCCCTCTCCAGCTCTCCTGGAGCCCCTCCAGGGACTCTGAGCTCTCCCTGGAGCCTTCTCCTCACCAGGGGAACATTCCCAGCTCTGCCAGCCTGGCTCCAGAGCAGAGGGGCTGCAGCCCTGGAGCAGCTCTGTGCCCTCCCACCTCGTCCTTCCCCAGGGGATGAGCAGCCCCAGGGGGCTCAGGGATGAGGAAGCAGGCCAGGCTCCCCGTGGCTCTTACCTCCACCGTGTTGACTCTGACCTCGGCGTTGTCCTTCTCAGCTTTCAGCTCCAGCTCCACGTTGAGCAGGGCGATTTTGGGGGACTGGTACTTCTTGGGCTGCATCTCAAACCCAGCATAGGAGAAGGTTTTCTTAAAGGCAACTCCAGCCACCAGCTGTGAGTCCTGGAACACAGGGATTTGCCTCAGGCTCAGCCCCAGGTCTTCCTGCACAGGGTTAATAACAACTCCCACAGGACACCCCCAGCTTCCAGAGGCCTCATTTACAGAGCCTTCCCAGCACTGTCTCCTTTGATTAACCCACTTTCAGAGGAAATAAGCAGCAAGGATTTCATTCAGCCCACAAGAGCAGCTTCCTCTCTACCCCTCAAAACTCCACAGCCAAGAACTCCTCACACAACCTTCAGATCAAGGAATGGAGCAGCTCTCTCCCTGATCTCTGTCCCATTCCTCCCCTTTGAACTCTTGGGTATTTCTCATCCACAGCCCCACTGGAGGCTGGTTTTTGCTCTGGTTTGTCTTTCCAAGTTCCATCACCACCTCCCAGATTTTCTGCAGCTGGATAGCCCTGTCCAACACCATTCCCTGGCATGAGCTCCTCGATTTCCTGGGTGAAGAAATCAGGATCTGAACCTTTCTCCACAGGGGCTGTCCACAGCCAGGATCAATCCCCTCACAGATATCCAGTCCCAGACACAACAGGTTCTCCAGCCCTGAGGCATAAACCACACATCCCACCTGCCCTGCCCACCACTAAATCAGCTTCATGAGGTTTGCCTTGCATTTTTCCCAACCCAGTAATCCTACATGCAACCAGGACTTCTGGATCCAGAAGTAACAAAGACTCCCCACAAAAAAAAAAAATTAATTATTTGCAGAGAGATAAATGGAATTCTATCAGTAACTACTTTTGCTGCAGTGAGTTGAAAAGTGTATTTAGCTCAAAAACCAAAAAGAAAGAAACTCAACCCTACCTGCCGAGCTTCCTCCTCACACCAACAGCTTTGTCCCACTTTGGGAATTCCCCAACAGACACTGTCAAGCCAGGCTGCACTTCTGCTGGAGCCAAGGCACCACCAGAGCAGGGACCCCTGTCTCCCACCCTTCAGGAAGGCTCCAACACTTACTTCCAAAGCTCCTCCTTGCACCTTCTTTATCCCGATCATCTTGAGCTGCAACAAGTCATCCAACATCATCACAGCATCTACAACCATCTTGGAGAAAAACTCCTTGCTCTGGGAGATGAGCTTGGAGCTCAGGGCTGTGGCTGCACACTTTTCCAGGAGACTCCTCTGCTCACTGCAGAAAGGGAAGGAAAAGAAAAACAAAGGTTTGGTCACCTGCCAGACCTTTGCACAAGCCCCAAACACCATCTGGAGTTATTAATCACAAGTTTAGGGCGGAAAACAACTTTAAGACCATTCAGTCCAGCACAGCCAAGGCCACCACTGCCCATGTCCCCAAGGGCCACATCCACAGGGCCCTGAAATCCTGCCAGTAATAGCGATGCCTCCCCTACCCTGGGCACTTCCAGGGCCTTTCCAGGAAGGAATTTCCCCAGTGCCCACCCTGAGGCTCCCCTGAGGCCGTTCCCTCTCCTCCTGTCCCTGTTCCTGGGAACAGATCCCAAATCCCCCCGGCTGTCCCCTCCTGGCAGGAGCTGTGCAGAGCCACAAGGTCCCCCCTGAGCCTCCTTTGCTCCAGGCTGAGCCCCCTCAGCTCCCTCAGGAACTCTCCAGCCCCTTCCCATCTCCCTCAGGAACTCTCCAGCCCCTTCCCATCTCCCTCGGGAACTCTCCAGCCCCTTCCCAGCTCCCTCAGGAACTCTCCAGCCCCTTCCCAGCTCCCTCAGGAACTCTCCATTCCCTTCCCAGCTCCCTCAGGAACTCTCCAGCCCCTTCCCAGCTCCCTCAGGAACTCTCCAGCCCCTTCCCAGGTCCCTCAGGAACTCTCCAGCCCTTCCCAGCTCCCTCAGGAATTCTCCAGCCCCTTCCCACTCCCTTCCCTGCCCTGGACACACTCCAGCCCCTCAGCGTCTGTTCTGTCATGAGGGGCCAAAATCCTCTCTGACAGAGGCAAAGATCAGCCCCCTCCTGTCAAAGGGGAGAACGAGGCACAAATCCCAGAATGACAAACCTCAGTCTCCTTTTTAGAGCTTGAGCTAACTGACGAGGCTGACTGACTTTTATGCACCTAAAATCAGACAATCAGGTGCTTCCTTCATCCCAAGGCAGGGAGATGTTCCTGAACCCCCTGAAGGCAGCACATTCCAGCAGTACTAACTCAGGCGGTGTATGTGCAGCAGTGGGCGACACAGGGAGATGTGGATCCAGCTGCCAGGATCTGTCTCCCATGGGAACCACTCTATTTCCCATCACAGGACCACATTTGGGTTTTTTCACAGCATTTTTTTAGAATTTGGTTTGGACAACCCATTTTGGTTTATTCAGGATGCTTATGAAGTTGAATTAACTTCTAATTAACTGCAGGTATCACTAAGGTCAAGTAGACAAGAGCTGAAAATCCAGGGAGAAAAGGAACTCCAGTATTCTCACCTCAGCTGAAGGGATCACTGCTGTGAGCTATCTACCTTGGGGTGTGACAGCTAAAAGGGGACCTGATCCTCAGGGAACTGCTGAGATTTAACACTGACTGCAGCAAGAGCTCCAAGACTCCACCGCTGCAAAGAAGAATCAGGCACTTATTTTGGTGCCCAGCTTCCTCCGTGAGCACTGGGAGACACTGCCCTACATCATCCCTGCAGCCAAGAGGGAGCACAGCACTGCCCCCGCAGGAGCAGGGAACTCCAGGGAAACTGGGAACAACCCCGGTGTGGGGCTGCAGCTCCAGGTGCCTCCTGGAAATGTCAGTCAGAGCCACAGGATTCAGCAGCACCCTCACAGCAGTCAGCTGGAGCCCAGAACAGAACCAGGTCACCTCCAAGGGAAACTTACTCTTTATCCTCCTTCTTCACCGAGACAGCGATGTCTTTGATCTTGTTCACAGCCTGGCAAAAAGGAACAGCTGGATTAATGATTTATGCCAAGCTGGTGAGATCTCCAACCTCTCTTTGTATTTTATCTTTTGTTCTCTGTTTCAACGTCACTGAAGTTTCAAGTGTTTAAGTTATTCCCCCCCTGCCAGAGCAGTGATTCCAAGGAATACACCAATATGTGAGGAGTGGGAGGAGGCTCAGAGCTGCTCTGCTGTTCTGTTTTCAGCAGAGACCCTGGGAATCAAAGGGCTACTGAGGAGTGAACCTCCAAAAATCAGCTTACTGGGATCAACAGGCTCCAGGAGACACACAGGTTACTAAGAAGCAGCATAGAACAGGAGGAGCAGGAGAATGGGAAATGAGTTTTCCCATTCATTCCTTCCTCCTTGGGAAAATCCCAAAGGAGGTGACAGCACTCCAGAGGTACAGGCGGGTACAGCAGGCTGGCACGGGAGAGCAGCGCTGCTGGCAGGGAGGCAGCAGGAGATGCTGCTGGCACTCCCCACGCCCATCCCCGGGGCTGTCCCTGTGCCCTGCGGCTGGCACAGCTGGCCCGTGTCCCCGTGTCCCATGTCCTCACCAGCTGCGTGGCCGTGCGGAAGGCGCGGATGATGATCTGTGGATGGAGCCCCTCCTCCACGTAGGGCTTCACCTGCTTCAGGAACTCGGCTGCCAGCAGGGTCACCGACGTGGTGCCATCACCCACCTGCAGGACAGGGGACACCGTGCCACCCCCAGGCTGTGCCCCCCCCACTGCAGACACCACCTGAGAGCAGCTGCAAAACCACTCCAGAGCCTCCAGGGAAAGCAGAGCTCAGGATTTGCTCTGCTTATGGATTTGTGGCTGAATTCCCCAGGCATTCAGAGCGGTCTGGGTGGGAAGGGACCTCAAAGCCCATCCAGTGGCACCCTCTGCCACGGGCAGGGACACGTTCTGCCAGCCCAGGTTGCTCCATGTCCCATCCAGCCTCACCTTGGGCTCTGCCAGGGATCCACGGGCAGCCACAGCAAATCTGGGAATTCCAGCCCAGCCAGGAATTCCTTGCCAAGATCCCAGCCCAAGCTCCCCTTTCCCTGTGGGAGCCATTCCCTGGCTCCTGTCCCTCTGTCCCTTGTCCCCAGTCCCTCTCCAGCTCTCCTGGAGCTCCTTCAGGGACTCTGATCATTCCCTGGAATTTTCCCTTCTCCAGGGGAACATCCTCAGCTCTGCCAGCCTGGCTCCAGAGCAGGCAGGATAAAGCCCAGCACTCCATGAGCGATTCCCAGCAGCAAACAGCAAGCCCAGGGCAGCACTGGCCCTCAGCTGCCCTGTGTGCCCCCCAGGCACAGCCAGGCTCCCCTCCCACCTCAGCATCCTGGGATTTGGCGATGTCCACCAAGGTCTTCGCGGCCGGGTGGACGACGTCCAGCAGCTTCAGGATGGTGGCCCCGTCGTTGGAGATGGTGGCTTTGCCTGGGGTTTGTGGAGAAAAGGAAGTTAAAGGCAGCTTTACACCGGCAAGGGTAAAGCCCTATCCCTGGGGGCTCTCAGGAGGCCTCAGCAGGTGCCTCTGCTCCACCAGAACTCAGTGCTGTCAGCCCATCTGTGGAGCAGGTTCAGTGAAGTCAGCCTGAGAGCAGAACAACTTTCCACACCAACAAAGGTTTGGACTTCATTTCCCTCTTCTCAAAGGCCTCCCTAGACAGATAAAACCATATTCTAGTCTGAGACTCCCATGAAGAAAGAGTATAGAAATCATATTAGTTATTGTAAGAGAAGTTTAAATCCAGTTATCATTTTGAACAAGGATTTATTGCAGTTCCTACTTGTAAAAGCTACTTAAAGACAATACTAAGCCTCTTCACTCCACCCTTCAGTAACAAAAATAGTAAATAATTATTATTATTATGGTGACTTCATACCAGTCTTTTCAGAGTGACGGCAAAGTTCATCTCTAAATTACACTTCAAAAAAGATTAAAAATCAGCCCAGGAACATCCACTGACCTCACACTCAGCCACAACTGCTGAGTTACTCCACAGGTATCATGAGCCTCATTTAAAAATAGAGATGAACAAAAATACCTGAAGACAGGTTCAAGCCTCTCTGCTTCTCCTGTCTGGCACAGACTGACAATGGATGCATCCAACTGATGCCTCAGGTTTAGCTTTTCTACTTTTCAGGTTCTGTGCTGCTTTAGTGTGCAGTTCTGGGTTTCATTTTATGGACTGATGAGCTCTCATCAGAAAGCAGGGAGACAAAACAATTCCTGCTCCAGCTGGGCACCAAGGACAAATGATCCAAATCTCAGCCCAGGAGCACAAACAGCGTGGGCTGGAGAGAGAAAAACAAGCAGGATGGGACTGCCTGGGCTAAAGCTGGAATGGGACAATGAACTCCAAGGTGCCAATGGGGCAGAACTGATCCCAGGGAGAGCCCCCGGGAGCGCTCGTGCATTTTGGGGCCATTTTGGTTCATTTGGGTGCAGCCCTGGCTGGGCTCTGGTGCTGCCCAAGGTGGATCCATGGAGGAGATCCTTTAATAAATCCCGAATTTATTCTGTAGCTCTGTCCAGCCCCTGTTCTAGGGCAGCCTTCCCAAGGCAGCACAACCCCCCTGACTCTGCATCTCCTCAGGAGCTCCAGGGGAGCCATCAGGAATCCTCAGGCTGGACTGGTGGCTGTCCAGGCAGGCAAACCCCTGGTTCTAAAGTGTTCCAGCGACACCGAGACAGAACTGCAGCTCTGCCGGAGCGCCGAGCCCGGCGGGGTGAGGCTGCTGGCACGAGGCAGATGCCAACGCCCGTACCCACCGCGATCGTCCACGATGAGCTTGTCCATGCCGCGCGGGCCCAGCGTGGTGCGCACGGCCTCGGCGATCACCTGGCACGCGTTGATGTTGCTGACCAGCTGCGGGATGCCCTGCGAGGTGTCCGTGCCCTCCTTCAGCAGGATAACCGGCGTTGGCTGCGGGGAGGAGCGCGGCACAGCCGTTATCCCAAGCAGGAACAAACTCCTGCCAGCCCAAAAGGCACCCGTGTGCAGGACTGGAAACACAGACTCGCTGCAATTCCCCTGCCCCACACCACCCACTCTGCCGGGAATTCACACAACTGCTCTGCCACAGGCTCAGGGACCACACAGGAATCGTCCCAAAACAACAGGGGTTTTTGGGGCAGCGTGGCCCACTGAGGCTCTGATCTGATGCTGGCCTGGAGGAGACAGAACTTGCAGGAATTACAGAGACAGTGAGGAACCAAACAAGTCTGGGTGGCCAAAGCACCACAGCAGCTGGGGCTGCCCCTGGATCCCTGCAATGTCCCAGGCCAGGCTGGTCGGGGCCTGCAGCAGCCTGGGACACTGGGAGGTGTCCCTGCCAGGGCAGGGGTGGCACTGGATGGGTCTTAAAGCCCCTTCCAACCCAAACCACTCCATCAGTGCGGCAACCATCTCACAGGCAGGGCTCAGGCAAAGCCCAAACACTGCCCAAATTTGGGATGCACTGGCTCACAACAGCCAGTTCAGAGGTAGAACTAAACTGAACTAACTAACTAACTGCTGAACCAGCTGAGCAGGCACACAGCAGGACTAAACTGTGCTTGCTGCACTGAGATCACAAGCACAAGAAAAGGAGCTACTGCAGAGGGCGATGGGCAGTGATGGGCACAAAGAACATCCTCGGGGGCTGGAGCATCTCTCCTCTGAGGAGCTGGGCCTGCTTAGGCTGGAGAAGGGAAGGCTGAGAAGGATCCCATCAATCCATACACATCTATCCGAGGCAGTGCCAAGAGGTTGGTGCCAGACTGTGTTTGGTGATGCCCAGCAACAGCACGTAAATTAAAACACAAGCAGTTCCACCTCAACGTGAGGAAGAACTTTCCATGGAGGGTGACGGAGCGCTGGCACAACTGCACAGGGAGGGCCTGGAGACATCCCAAAGCCCCCTGGACACGCTCCTGTATCACCTGCTCCAGGAGACTCTGCCTGGGCAGGGGTTCAACTGAGTGATCTCCACCCTGACTATTCTGTGATCCCTGAAACGATTCTGTGGAAAAGAACGTACAGCCTTCCTCCACACCCAGCAGCGCGGGGATCCCGACGGGAACGGAACCGTTTATCCCCGGGGCAATCAGCCTGGAGACACATGCACCTCCCGCATCCCCGGGGCCCGGGGCCGGAGGGGCCGGGCCGGAGCCGGGGGCTGCCCGCTGCCCGGCCCGCGGCCAGCACAGCCCGGCTGCGGCGGGCGCGGCTCCCGCCGGGCCTGCGCGCTCCATCCCCGCCGGCCCAGCCCGGCCCGGCCCGGCCCGGCCCGCCGCAGCCGCTCGCCGGGGGCCGGCGGGAGCCCCGCGGGCCGGGCAGCGCGGCAGGACCCGGGGACGGCGGCGGATGAGGGCGGATGAGGGCGGATGGCGCGGGGCTCCCTCACTCACCATCATCGCGGCGGCGGCTGGCTCCCGGCCCCACAATGCACCGCGCCCGCCCAGAACCTTCCCGGGGGCGGGCCGGGTGGAGCACTATTTGGCAGAGCGGCCAGAGGGCGCGCAGCGCGGGAAGGACAATGGATCACTATTTAGCAGCGAGCGCCGCGGTGACAGCGAGCTGCCCGCGCCGGCCCGCGCGTGATTGATGGCGGCGCCGACCAATAGGAAGGAGCGCGGTGAGGCCATGCACCAATGGGGAGCGCGGGGCGGCCCGGTGGGCGGGGCGCGCGCAGCCATGCTGCTCTGGCTCTGGCGCTGGCTCTGCCTCTGCGTCTGCTGCTGCCCGGCCCGCGGTGAGTGAGGGACGGAGGGAGGCACGGAGCGGGGACAGCGGGGACAGCGGGGACAGCGGGGACAGCGGGTCCGCAACCCGGACCGCGACCACCCGGACCCCGCACACAGCCCGGGCATCCCGGCCCGGCCGCCTCCCCGCCCGGCGCACCGCCGCCCCGGTGTATTTCCCCTCCCGGCGCCCCGGCCCCGCTGCGGTTCCCCTCCCGTGTCTCTGTCCCGGTGTATTTCCCCTCCCAGCCCCGTTGCCATTCCCCTCCCGTGTCTCTGTCCCGGTGTATTTCCCTTCCCAGCCCCTTGCCGTTCATCTCCTGTACCCGTATGGGAATACGGGGGCATTCATTTCCCCTCGCTGCGCCCCCACCTAATTGCGTTTCTCCTCCTACATCCCGATCCGGGTGCATTTCTCCTGCGTTTCTCCTCCTGCAATTCCCTCGGTGCACCTCGACCCAGTTTCCCTACCCAGAACCCCAGTCTAGCAGCATTTCCTCTCGGTGGGGTCTGAGCCCCTCGGATTTCCCTGTCATTCAGGTGCATTTCCCATTACTGCGCCCCAGCTCCGTTGCATTTCCTGCTGCCTCCCAATCCAAGTGCATTTTCCCTCCCATTTGTGATCCTGGTGGGTTTCCCCTCTGTTCTCCTCGGTCTGGGTGCCTATCACCCCTCTCCCCTCCATGGTCCAGCAGCATTTTCCCTTCCCCTTGAGTGCCCCAGTCCCCATCCCCTGTCAGTCCCTGGGAACTGCCACATCTGCCCTTGGAACACCCCAAAACCTTTTGGGACCTGGGCCCAGCCAGGATTTGGAATTGCTGGAGGGCGTGTTCTCTCCTCTGTGGTTCAGGAGTGATAACTGGGACTTTTCCCTTTTTTCAGGGATTTTGCCTTTAGTTTGCCTTGCCTCAGCTCTGTCCTTTCACCCCCAGGATTACGCATCCATGAATATTTGTACTTCCAAGTGCTGAGCCCCGGAGACATCCGCTACATCTTCACTGCCACCCCAGCCAAGGATTTCGGTGGCGTGTTTGTAAGTATTAAAAACTGAATTTGCCACTCTGGGTCCCTCCGTGCCAATATTGCTCCTTGCTGGGACTCAGTGCTTTGGGGTTTTGATTAAAACGGAGCTCATTGCTCTTCCACAAGCATGCCTGCCCTCAGCAGGATGCCAGAGTCAGGGACTGCCCCAGGGCTGGCTCTGAGCACCCCTGAACCTGGGAGCCCCAAATCTCCCCCAGAGCAGCCCCCACAGGGATGAGCAGGGCGTGGGAGGGGGAGCAACTCCATCCCCCCGGCTCACCCCTGCCTGTCTCCTCGGAGAACACAAGGTACGACCAGATCCACCTGGTCCCCGCGGATCCTCCGGAGGCCTGCGGAGAGCTCAACAATGGGGTCTTCATCCAGGACCAGATCGCCTTGGTGGAGAGGGGGTAGGTCTGGCATGGTGGCAGCTGCTGGGGGACCCTGCTGGGCAGGAGGGGAGCCCTGGCCACATCTCCCCATCACTTCCAGATTCTTCCTGGGGCTTTCCCCACATAGATAAATTGGGAAAATGTGAGGCTGTTCCTACCCTGGAGAATTGCATCTTGTATTTTTTAGCCTGTGGTAAGGTAGAAAAAATGCTGTCTGAGTTCAGATTGAGAATAGGTTTAGATTAGACAGTAGCAAAGAACTCTTCTCTGTGAGTGGTGAGGCCCTGGCACAGGCTGCCCAAAGAAATTCTGGATGCCTCATATCCCTGGAGGTGTCCATGGCCAAACTGGACATTGGGGCCTGGAGCAGCTTGGGACAGTGGAAGGTGTCCCTGCCATGGCAGGGGGTGGCACTGGATGGGCTTTTAGGTCTCTTCCAATCCAAACCATTCCAGGATTTTACTTAATTTGTTTTTTAGGAGTGTGGGTGGCTTGTACCTAAAATACAGACTCAGAGGAGCGGGGTTTGGAGGAGGTGTGGAATCAGGGAGACAGTCCCTAGCTTGGGTGTGCCCAGGCCAGCTCTGGCAGGTGCAGGCTTTGGAGCGAGCTTTGGAGCTACCTGCGGCCACCCCAGGTAGGTGACGGTGTGGTCCCTCTGTGGGACAGGGGCTGCTCCTTCCTGTCCAAGACCCGCGTGATCCAGGAGCACGGCGGGCGGGCCGTCATCATCGCCGACAACGCCTACGACAATGACAGCTTCTACATCGAGATGATCCAGGACAGCTCCCGGCGCACGGCCGACATCCCCGCGCTCTTCCTGCTGGGCAGGGACGGGTACGTGCCCGGGCTGTTCCCGGGGTGAGACATTCCGGGGCACAGGGAGGGCCCGGTGCTCGGCGTGGAGCTGGGCTGTGCTCTGTGCTCGGGCTGGCCCCGCTCTCCCAGCCCTGTCACCCTCCATCCCCAGGTACATGATCAGGCGCTCCCTGGAGCAGCACGGGCTCCCCTGGGCCGTCATCTCCATTCCTGTCAACGTCACCAGCATTCCCACCTACGAGATGATGCAGCCCCCCTGGACCTTCTGGTAGCAGCAGGCTGCTCAAGGACTTGCTGGTGCATCCCAGGACCTTGCCCTAAGGAGCAGCTTTGAGGAGAGGATCCCAGCACGCTCCAGAGATCCCGCTGGATTGGGCGACAGGGAGATCTTTCTGCTGGCACCGCGGTGTGGCCCAGGGCAAGCACCAGTGCTGGGGAACCTTGAGCCCGGCACTGACCTGTGACTGTGGGAGGGAGGCCAGCACTTCCCAGGAAACATTTGACCTTGTGCTGCTGATTTGGAGGGATGAGGACTGGCAGGAATGGGGGAAGAGCGATACAGGCTTGGTCTGTACCGGCAGGGCTCACCCGATGTCTGTATATTTTTGTCTGAGCTAATGAAGTCCGAGTAAGTTTTAGAGAAAGGGAAGTTTCTCTTTTATTTCTCAGCAGATGAAGGGATAAATCTCATCCTCAATTTTTTTCCTAGTAAAATTCTCCAAGTACGTCCTGCAGCTGGGGCAGGGCTCAGAGCCTCATGGGACAGCACAGCCTCCAGCAGCTGTCCCCAAGGGTGGGCTGGTCACAAATCCAGAGCCCACCCTTGCACAGGTGTCTGTTCGCTCAGCCCCAGCCCTGTGTCCCCATAGGTGCACCCCTGGGTCACAGCCCTGTCTGCACTCAGCAATACAAAGCACAGGTCCCCAGCTGTCACCAGGCTCGGTTTATTAGGAACACTGAAGGGGATGTGGCCCCGGGACGCTGGGGACAAGCAGCGGGAGGCAGGGCTGGTGGTGATGGCAATGCCACAGGTGTGCCACCCTCAGTCCCACAGTTATGCTGCCATGGACACGGCAGCAGGAAAACAGCTCCCTAAAATCATGGAGGAAGGAAATAACCCCAGGAGCATCGCTGACCTCCTGCCTGTCCCTTGGAGCTGTTGTCCCTCCAGCCACATGGTCTGCACACAGGGACAGCACAGTGTGGCGTGGCCTTGAGGGTGGCAGCGTGGCATGGGTGACAAGGGGACATCCGGTGGGGCCACTCTGCAGTGGCACATCTCCATGTGGGAGCACTGGGTGCAGCGAAACACCCAGCACATGCTGCATCCCCAGGCACAGCCTCGTCCCACGGCCAGCTGGAGAGAGAGGAACTCCCTCCCTACAAAACCCAAAATGTCTTCTGGGTTTGGGATGACGCCGCAGCCCATGTCAGCTCCCGGCCATTCTCCATCCCCACACGGTCCTGCCCACGGCTCTGTCATGGGAAGGAGGTGTCTGCAGGGTCAGCTCTGCTCTCCCTGCTGGACTCGAGCTCTGGGCCACTCTCCAAGGCATCCCCTGCAAGATCCGCCTGCCCCTCACTGCTGGCCAAGGCATGGAATGCAGGATATATGAGGCCCCAGCTCCATAGTGTGTAGATAGTGCTAATATAGACATTAAATAGTACCCTCGTGCACAGACACACGGACACACACACACACACACACACACACACACACGTTCCGGGTGGGAAGGACAAGCTCCTCCACATCCACAGCCTGCACAGACACAGGGAGTGACCTCACAGGTGACCAGCGCGGTGTCCCAGGGGCTGGCTGGCTCCCACTCTCCTCCAGCCTCCCCTGCACGCACCAGCCAGCCCTACTGGGAACTGGGATGTGCTGGAGGGCCACTGGCTCACAGCTTGTCCTCACAGGGAGGACAGGACAGCCTGACATACACGCACGCACAGGGACAACACGGACAGGCGGGAGCAGGGCCTGCCTCCGGCTCCCGGCACCTCTGCACAACCCCGACCCCGCAACACAACCCTGGTCTAAATTAAAGCTGCTGCCTCTTGGAGGAACCTCCAGGCCCTTCCCTTCCCATCCCTTCCCTCTCCTCTCGCCCGGGGCCAGGATCACACATCAGTCATCTCATCCTCCAGCTCTGCATCGTCCGTCTCTCCTTCGCCCTCCTCCTCTTCGTCCGACGTCACGTCGGCGTCGTCGGCTTGTGCGAGGCACTTGGGACACGAGCAGGTAAACAAGTAGTTCTCCCTGGCAGGTGGGCAGGCGGAGACAGAGGATGGTGTGGAGACAGGTACCAGCCCACACTGCTGCTGGGCAGGGCTCGGGAAGGGGCTAAATGTGCCACAGCCGCAGGAGTCTGGGGTGCCATCCTGCTGGCTCAGGCAGGGTGACCGTACCCCGGGTGGAGAGGGGGATTTCTCAGCCCCACAGGGGCGATGGGACAGTGACCCCCAGCAGGACCCTCTACCCTCGAGGGACAGAGAAGGAAAAGGAAGGGTCTGCTGCTGTAAACCCACAGAGAGAGGGGGGAACCCAAATCCTTTGTCCCCAAGGCTACAACACATTCCAAGGAGCTGGAAGCACCAGAAGCACCACGTGCTGCACACACTCCCTGCCACGAGCCTGCTGAAGCTCTCAGCAGCCCTGCACAGCCACAGCCCAAGGCACACCCAGCCCCAGGGTGGGGATGCTGCCCTGATGGACTGTTGGGGTGTCAGGGGGTCAGAGGGGCCCCAGGCAGCCCCTACCTGAGTATCTTGTTGCGGCTGTGTCTGCTGCGCTCCCTCTGACAGCAATCTAAGTAACTGATGCAGATTTCCTGGCAGCAAACAGAAATGGGATGGGCTCAGAATCACTGCCCATGATCCCAAAGCAGCAGGATTTCTCCCAGTCCCACTCAGAATCAGGCAGAACCAGGGGGTCTGGCAGCCCCTGCATGGGATGGGGATTGAATTCCTCTGCCATGATGCAGGACACAGGAGGTTTTGGGGCTGGGGTCCATGGAGGATGTAGGGGACACAGGGATGATGCCATGGTGTGATGTCACCTCAGGTGCACCCAGGCCCTGCTGGCTCACCTCTCCTGCTTCAATGTCCTCCAGAGCAGTGAGATGCAGGAGGAAGTTGTTTTCTGGGAAGGATGTCTCAGCGTTGGGGATGCAGCTGTGGTTACCTAGGGGCAATACAATCTCTGCTAAATGCCTAAGTGGCTCCTGGAACCACATCCCATCTGAGTGCATCCAAGGCAGGACTGGCCATTCCACAGCTGGGCAAAGTGCCAGGGAACAGAGAGAGCAGTACCCACCACATCCCCCCCATCCCATCCCACCCCACAGATGGCAAGCACAAACCCCTTTCTCCAGAGGAAGAGGTGAGCCAGCCTAGCACGGGACATGTCCCTCCTCACTACTGTTTTCCTCCCAGTCCTTGTGTTACTTACAGCAGCTCTGCAGCACGTAGAGCCCTGATCCCTCGCAGTTGAGGAACTCTCCCGACTCTGCAGCACAGAGAGAGGGGTTAGAGCTTTGCATGGTCCATTCCTCCTCTTCCACACACAAGCACGAAGGAATGTCCATCAACACGAACGCCCACAGCCAGCACGGCCTGGGTGCTGCAGGGTGATTTCCCAAGAGCCTTTCCCTCCCACTGGGAGGGGTTGGAGGACAAATATTCCTATCCCGAGGCTGCCTGCCCTGTCCCTGCACTCCCAGAGCCTCACCCTTCTCGATGTCCTTGTAGAGCTGGTCGATGAAGGCGTCCAGCTCCTCCCGCTGCAGCATGGGCAGATCCAGCGCGTCGCACGCGTGCACCCACTGGCTCAGGGAGCTGGGGGGAAACGGGACATTGTCACAGCCCCACAGGGCTTCGGGGAGGAGAGGGACACTGTCACAGCCCCACAGGGCTCTGGGGAGCAGTGGGACACTGTCACAGCCCCACAGGGCTCTGGGGAGCAGTGGGACACTGTCACAGCCCCACAGGGCTTCGGGGAGGAGAGGGACACTGTCACAGCCCCACAGGGCTCTGGGGAGCAGTGGGACACTGCCACAGCCCCACAGTGCTGTCAGAAACAGCAGGACATTTTTACACTCCCATAGCGCTGTTAGCACACGGTGAGACCTCACAGAGGAGATCCAAGGTGGCTCTGAGCAGCCAAGGTGTGGCAGAGGGATGTGAAAAGGTTGGACACAGCCAAGATGAAGGTTTTTTTTAAGTCTGCCTCTCTGTCCCCATCTCTGAAACACGGCCATTGACATTCCACATCTCCACAAAGCCCATTACCTGGTTCCTATGCCTTGGCCATTGGTCCCAACGAGGGCAAAGAGGGATCGAAAGCCTTCTGGGGTGAACCACTGCAGAAGGGACAGGACAAAGGAACTGAGGCCGGGCCAGCCTGCAGAGCACCACGCTCTGCAATGCTCTGAGTGCCACAGGAGCTTTGGGGGAAGCAAGGAAGGAGCAGAGACCCTGGGGAAGCCCAGGCCAGCGCTCCTGGGCTGTCTGGGAGGCAGATCCACTCACCCTGCTGAGATACTCATCATAAAGGGCTTCGGTGAAGAGCAGGCGCAGCAGCTCCAGCTGTCCCTGGCAGGACACAGAGCACGGTCAGGGAGGGGTTCTGGGGGTGCCACCCCGGGCTGAGGCTGAGCCAGCACAGGCCAGAGCCTCCAGAAGGACTCGGGCTCCCTGGCCTGGAGCCTGCTGCCCTCACAGCTGTGAAATCCACCCATTTTAGCAGCAAAAGCCACCTACTCAGCAGCTAAATATCACGCTGTCCCAGCCCACAGCAGGAACATCTCCCCCACAGGAAGGAGCAGCATATCCCATGAAAGCATCACAAGGCCAAAACCCTCTCAGCAACCACTTCCTCACTGTCAGGGCCCTCCCTTTAAGCCTGGAGTTTCCAGCGTTTCCTATCCCCACTGTAACGAGGCTTTGGCATCTGTGGGCTCACAGACACAGGCAGGAGAAGGAAGGCTCGAGACAATTTAAGAGCTGCTGGGTCTTACCTTAAATTTGTCCCCCAGCAGCTTGTGCACAATCTCCTCTTCTTCATTTGCTGTCTTGTTGCAGAACTGGGAGAAGACCTTGATCCACCACTCCTTGTCTTTAGCCTGACAAAAGAATCGAGCAGAGGCATTGCACCAACACCACTTTCCTCCCCAGCCCAGGGAGAGGCAGGATTGTCAGAAGAAATGCTGAGAAAGCCAGGCCAAGGAAACAGAGCCTTGGGAATACATCCACAATGGGATAACAAAACCACCCACCATACCTGTTTGATGGTGGCAACCATCCTGGCCATCAGCATGATGCTGGAAGTCTCTGGAGGGTAATGCATGTTTCTGTGGGATTAAAATGGAGAAGAGATGAGCAGATCAGGGCTGGCATGGGAATGAAAAGCTGGAGGGAGGCAGAGGCAGCTGCCATAGGTGTGGTCAGACCTGCACTGACCCAGCACACCAAATGGTCAGTGCAGCATTGCTGTGTGGGGGTGCAGTGGAGAGAAACCTGCCCCCACCTTCCTGCTCCACCCATACAAACAATCCCCCTCCATCCTGCTCACTCTGCGGGGCTTGGGACAAGATTTGGGTCAGGGATGTTGCTCATCCCCTCTGGAACTATTTATTTTTAAAGAAGGGACAGAAATGAGCCCATGGGATGCCACAAGGAGCATCTCCCAGAGCCTGGAGATCTGCAGGAGCACCAGAAAACTGCAGGAGTGAGGGATGTGCAGCTGAGCACTTTGTAGCTCTTTAGCAGGATAAAAATAAGGAGTGCTCAGCTGCGTGTCCAAATCCCCGGGCTGCCAGCCCCACAACATCCAACCAGAAGAAAGAGCTGGGCAGTGTCCCACGGCCACCCCCACCCTGCAGCCACCTTGTGCAGGGATGCACAGCAAGGAGCCAGCCCAGGAGAGCCACCTCCCCTGGCTGTGGAGCCACAGGCGGGTCAGGCCCTACCTCCATGCCTCCTGCAGCTTGTTGAGGGGGTGCGTGGGGTCGTCCCGGGACGGGCCGAGGCAGAGCACCTGGTGGTACTGCTCCAGAGCTGCCTGCCTGCATTCCGCGCTGCAGTACGTCACCTAGAGCGAGGGGACAGCGCTGCCATGGCCTGTGCCTGCAGGAAAAGGGGCTCCTAGATCTGGCTGTGCCCCCTCCCTGACCAGCAGAGCCCTGGCTCTTTGGCCCACAGCACAGAAAGGCAGACAGCCTAAGAGCCCGGAGGGATGGGAAGGACTCAAGATCCCAAGGAGAGCACGGTCCCTCCTGGCAGTGGCGTACCTGGCAGCGGGGACACTGCTGGTGCAGGTCCTTCCGGATGCTGCACTGCTCCGGGTGAGGCAGCACCAGGGAGCTCCTCCCCAGCAGGCGCTGGGCGTTCTCCTCCGCCGTCTCCAGCGCCCGCAGGCAGTGATCACAGGCTGTGGGGAGACAGGAAGGGATGGAGGGATGGAGGGATGGAGGGATGGAGGGGTGGATGGGTGGATGGATGGATGCATGGGTGGATGCATGGATGGAATGAAGGGATGGATGGTAGATGGATGATGGATGGAGGGATGGATGGAGGGATGCCACAGGAAAGCCTTTGGAAAGGAAAGGGACCAGAACGCAGGACAACACAACACAACTGGTACCAACAGCAGAAAGGAACAAGGGGATGGGGCTTGGAGCAACCCGGGCTGGGGCAAGGCGTCCCTGCTCACGGCAGGGGTGGAATATTATCTTTAAGGCCCCTTCCAACCCATTCCAAGATTCTGTGGTGGCACCTGGCACATTCCTCCAGAACTGATGGCAGTCACCATCTCTCAGATGACACCTGAACTTGTCAAGAGTTTAGTGGGGAGGCAGAAAGGCAGCAGGGCCACCTTCATAGAGGCGCTGAGACAACCCCAAACCCTTCCCTCGGTACCTCTGCGGTCACCGCGCCGGGACAGTGACAGGGATGGGGCCATGCCGCCAGCCGCTCACCTCGGTAGTTGTACAGGGCATTCCAGAGGAACTGGGAGGACACCACCGGCCTCTCCACGAAGACTGTTTCCCCTTTGCGGATGTTTCTGGTGGCGAACAAGCCCTTTCCCTGCCGAGGGACACCGGCGGGTCAGGGACGCACCCGAAGCCGAGTCATACCGGGAGCTGAGGGAATCCCTCCATCCCCTCCATGCCCTCCATGCCCTCCATCCCGAGGGGACCCTGCGGGATTCTGCCCCCTCAGCCCCGCGGGCAGGGCGGGCAGGGAGGGGACTCCCGGAGGGGAGCCCGGGCCGCTCACCTTGGCGCTGCTGATGAACCGCGCCTCCGCCGCAGCCCCGGCGTGTGGCCCCGCCGCGGCCGCCATCTTCGGGCGGCGACTTCCCCGCCCTGACCCGCCGGGCAGCGCCTCTTCCTCTTCCTCCTCCTCCTCCTCCTCTTCCTCCTCCTCCTTCTACTCCTCCTCCTCCTCCTCCGCCCGCCGCTCCCCTCAGGGACCCGCGCTCGCCATCGCCGCCCTCAGCCGCGGGGCGCGCGGGGGCCGGCTGCCATCTTGGCCCCCCTGCCACAGCGCCTGGGCAGCGCCTGAGAGCAGCGCCAGAACATCCCAAAACAGCGCCGAAACACCCCAAAACAGCGTCAAACCACCCCAAAACAGAGCTAAAACACCGCCAAAACACCCTCAAACCACCCCAAAACAGAGCCAAAACAGCGCCAAACCACCCCAAAACCGGGCCGGGCGCTGCCGCTGCCGCCCCAAATGCCAGGAGTTTGCTGCCTCTCCCCGGTCAGTTATTGATATTTAATGGCAGAGGAACAGCCGTCACAGCCCTGTCAGGCGGGGTGCAAGTTCCCCCTCAACTGAGGTCTCCCCTCAGGGAGAGAGGAGGCATCGCCCGCTGCCCTGCGCGCCCCAAACTGGCCCGACTTGCCCCAAAAAAGCCTTCGAAGCAGGCTGCTGTGGCCATCCGCCCTCGGCACCGCCTGCCTGGGGCTCTGCGGAGCCTTAAAGCCCACATGCGTTTGGTTGTATTTATTAACCCACGGCGCTGCGGCTCAGCCCCGCTCGCCGCGGGCCGGGCGGGGAGCAGGGTTGGGAGCTGGGGACGATTCCCCATTCGGGGCTCTGGGGAGCGATTTGGTGTCACTTGGTGTCACTTGGTGTCACTTGGTGTCACTAGATGTCACTGTCGGCTCGTGGCGGGGACACGGCACCGGTGACAAGGCGGCAGCTGCCACCTCCATGCCCGGGCCCGCAGCTGGAGCGCGGCCTCAGGACTGGCCGCTGACCCACAGCGTGGCCACAGAGCTGGCTGGCCACTGCTGCGGCCACCCTGCGGGGACAAGGGACAAACGGGCTGCCAGGCTGGCCACTGCTGCGGCCATCTGACCAGGAACAAGGGACAAACAGGCTGCCAGACAAGGGACAAACAGGCTGCCAGGGCTGGTCACTGCTGCGGCCACCCTGCGGGGACAAGGGACAAACAGGCTGCCAGACAAGGGACAAACAGGCTGACACACAAGGGACAAACAGGCTGCCAGGCTGGCCACTGCTGCGGCCATCTGACCAGGGACAAGGGACAAACGGGCTGCCAGACAAGGGACAAACAGGCTGCCAGACAAGGGACAAACAGGCTGCCAGGGCTGGCCACTGCTGCGGCCATCCAACCCGGGGACAAGGGACAAACGGGCTGCCACACAAGGGACAAACAGGCTGCCAGGCTGGCCACTGCTGCGGCCACCCTGCGGGGACAAGGGACAAACAGGCTGCCAGGGCTGGCCACTGCTATGGCCACCCGGCCGGGGACAAGGGACAAATGGGCTGCCAGACAAGGGACAAACAGGCTGCCAGGCTGGCCACTGCTGCGGCCATCTGACCCAGGGACAAGGGACAAACAGGCTGCCAGGGCCACGCTCCCTGGCCGTGCTGTGGGATCCAGCGCAGGCTGTGCTCCATCACACTGTGCCCATGGCAGGGACAAGGACAAAGCACGGGTGGGACAGTGCTGCCATGACTCCTGTTGCCGTCACATCCTCAGCGACTCATGGAATATTTATGTGGGAAAAGCCCACTAAGACAAACCAGTCCGATGTGCCCTGACACTGCCAAGGCCACAACTGAGCCATGTGCCACATCCCCAAGGCTTTTAAATCCCTCCAGGGATGGGGTTTCCACCACTGCAGCTGTGCCCGGGCTGCACAGCCCTTCCTGTGGATGAATTTTCCCCAACATCTGACATAAACCTCCCCTGTCACAACCTGAGGTCATTTCCTCAGATATTTCTTCATGGAAAGGGGTGGAATGGGCATTGGAAGGGGCTGGCCAGGGAGGTGGTGGAGATCCCATCCCCTGAGATGTCCAGGGAAGGCACTCAGAGCTCTGGGCTGGGGATAAGGGGGGACTGGGCACAGCTCGGGCTCGGTGACCTTGGAGGGATTTTCCAGCCTCAGTGATCCTGAGATTCCTCTCCTCCTGTCCCTGTTCCCTGGGAACAGATCCCAAATTCCCCCGGCTGTCCCCTCCTGGCAGGAGCTGTGCAGAGCCACAAGGTTCCCCTGAGCCTCCTCTGCTCCAGGCTGAGCCCCCTCAGCTCCCTCAGGAACTCTCCAGCCCCTTCCCAGCTCTCCAAGGAACTCTCCAGCCCCTTCCCAGCTCCCTCAGGAACTCTCCAGCCCCTTCCCAGCTCCCTCAGGAACTCTCCAGCCCCTTCCCAGCTCTCCAAGGAACTCTCCAGCCCCTTCCCAGCTCTCCAAGGAACTCTCCAGCCCCTTCCCAGCTCCCTCGGGAACTCTCCAGCCCCTTCCCAGCTCCCTCGGGAACTCTCCAGCCCCTTCCCAGCTCCCTCGGGAACTCTCCAGCCCCTTCCCAGCTCCCTCAGGAACTCTCCAGCCCCTTCCCAGCTCCATCAGGAACTCTCCAGCCCCTTCCCAGCTCCCTCAGGAACTCTCCAGCCCCTTCCCAGCTCTCCAAGGAACTCTCCAGCCCCTTCCCAGCTCCCTCAGGAACTCTCCAGCCCCTTCCCAGCTCCCTTCCCTGCTCTGGACTCGCTCCAGCCTCTTAGGCTGGCAGAGCAGGAGCTGCAGAGGTTTGGCTACATCCACCTGCAGATTCAGGTTCTTGTTCTCCAGGAGTCTGAGCACCCCATACTCACCAGGCATGACTGCTCTTACAGAAAATGTCGTTTTAGCTCTGTAGCAACCAGCCCAGAGACAGTAACTCCCTTCATCTACTTTGATATGGGGTCATCAAACAATTGAAAAAAGATCTTTAGTATGTATTTTGTCCAAAATAGTTCATTAAGAAAAAACACCTCAAACTCTTTTGAGAAGGATGAAAATACATTTGGTTTATTTTTTTGTTACTCATTTAAATTGAAAATTAAAGTGAGTACTTGGAAGTTTTTCCGTCTGTTTGTTTGTTTTTACACTCATTCCATCTCTCTTTTTAAAATGAACTCCATTTTTATCAAGAGAAAAAGCAAATAAATAAGTGACAAACAAGGCAAACTAAAAGAAAAGGTATTTCTATAAATAACAATATAAGCGTAAAGTGGTATACAGTGTTCTAGGTCAGAAAGAGACGGAATAAATTATCCTGAGCTGATGGGCCGTGGTGGCTGCTGCCCTGGGCACCCGTAGGAAGGCAAGGTGACAGCCTGAGTCCTTAGTTCTGGCCCCCCAAAGCCCTCCCTACCCCCAAAAATCCAGCTGTTAACCACATCGGGCTGCTCCAGATGTGCTCAGGGTGCCGTGTCCCAGGGCACCTGCAGGGATAATGAGGAGAGAACAGAGCAGCAGCTGCTCGGGGCCACAGTGGCACATCTGGCCTGGGGCAGGGGGCGGCTGCTGCAGCTGAGGTGTGGGAGCTGCTTTTTACTGCAGCCTGCAGCCCTGCAGCAGCACACACACACACACACACAGACACACAGACACAGACACACACACTCACACACACCCTGAGCAAGGACAGCAGGGCCAGGGCTCTGGGGAGCCCTGCAAAGGCACAGATACAGCAAGGCACTGACGGGATGAGGCACTTCTGCTCCAGGGCAGGGCTGGAGCCTGTCAGGAGTCTGTGCCTGGCAGCAAAGGACATCCCCATTTGGGGTATTTTGGTTGTGATTGATCTGAATATCAAACATGGGAGTCAAGTTGAGAAGAAAAAGCCATCAGGGAGATTCTCCTCCTTCCTCCTTGGAGCACACAGCCACACATAAGTGACCCGGGTTGGTGGAAATGTCCTTGTGCTCAGAGCCATCAGAGACAGATCCCATTGCCTGCCCAGCATCAGAGACTCTCTGATTGTCACCCCAGCATCAAAACCATCCTGATTGTCACCCCAGCTGCAGAGTAACCCTCTGATTGTCACCCCCACACCAGAGAAACCGGCAGATTGTCACCCCAACATCAGAATCACCTGTGATTGTCACCCCAGTATCAGTCCCTGTGATTCTCACCCCAGCACCAGAGACACCCTGATTGTCACGCAAACCTCTCTGCTGGAAACTGTCTGTGTGTCCTGGTGCTTCAGGAGCAAACAGGAGATCACCTGCCCCCAAGTGATGCAGCCCCAGGAATTACAGCACCTGGCTGTAATTGGAACAGCAGCCAGTGAAACTTGGGGGGTTCCTTCCAGCCAGCTGCAGTTCAGTCCTGCAGCTCCAGCTCTCAGATCAGTCTTGTTTGGACCAAAGCAGCACAGACACGTCCCCAGGCATCAAAAACCAGCCCAGTCTCTTGGCTGTTCAAAGCTCCACGTCCACGGGGTCCTCCTCGTGCTCCTTGCTGTCGGTGGAGTCGGCGCTCGCGGGCTGGATCACCCCGAACTGCGACAGCTTGGCCGCCTTCTGCTCCATGCTCTGCTTCCTCCACTTGATCCTCCGGTTCTGGAACCACACTTTGACCTGGATGGGAAGTGGCACAACAGCTTAACCCAAAGGCTCCAGGATTTTTCCAATCCACGAGTTCCTTAAAGTGGGGATGTGCATTATTCCAGAACAGAAGGAGGTGAATACAGAGGGCACAGTGGTGATGGGAAAGGATCAGGGGACAGGGGGAGGCAGCTGCACTGAGAAGGCTCTGGCCAGGGAAGTGAAGGAAGCAGCTCCCTAAGGAACCCCTGAATCCATCCCCAGGACTGCAGTTGCCACAGGGCATGATGAGATGCCCAATAATTATCCCTTGTCCTCCCCAGAACTGGCCTTGTTTTGCTCTCCCTTTCCCCAGTTGAATTTAGATCCCACTGTGGAAGATCACCTGGCTCCTTCTTTCCACACTTTCCACACTAAACAAGCAATTTACTGTGGGAGGAGCAGGAACTCACACGGCAAAGCAGGGAAATAATTATCTCCAGTGTCATAAAAGGACACTTGAAACAGTCTCCAGAGGATCGTGACAATGCAGACACAGCAACCAACCCAGCTCCAACTCTAAAGCACAGCAGGGTTGTGCTCCTGAATGCTTTTTGTTCCACTTCATGGATTCAGAAATCTCATCCAGAAACCACCCAAACCCCAGGCACATCTCTTCACCTGGCAGCAGGGTGTCCCACGGGTCACTCTGCACCGTGTCCTCCTCCCAGCACGCTTCCCAGTGGGACCATCAGCACAGAGCAGCCCCAGGATCAGTCCCAGCAGCTCACCTGGGTCTCTGTGAGATGCAGGGTTGCAGCCAGGTCCACCCTCTCCGTGCCCACCATGTACTGCTGCTTGAGGAACTCCTGCTCCAGCCGCTCCAGCTGCTCTGGTTTGAAGACCGTGCGGACTCTCTTCATCTTGCAGGGCCCCCCCGACCTCCAAGGCCCAGCAGGACCCAGAGGGTTGGTCCCGACACAGTGAGACAGCTCCAGACCTGTGAGAAAGCAGCAAAAATTGAAGGGGTCTGCACTAAAGGAGCTGGCAGAAAGCACCAAACCCAGCAGGGATGTCCCTGCCCTGTCCCTACCCAGATAATCTCATCCAGGCTGCCTTTCCCATGAAAAGCTGCAGTAGAAGAACTTTTGAGGGCCTGTTCTATGGTTTTACCCTCAGGGTCCACCAAGGACAGTCCTGGACATGCAGCCAGACCCAAAGAAATCAGCACTTAGTGAGGTGGGCAGGATTTGACCTCTGCCTGCACAGGACCTTTGTAACAGGACAACAAATTGCATCAAGAGCTGCAGAACACAAAAATCCCACCTCTGTCTTAAGAACCCCCGAATCACAAATGTTCAAAGTTTGAGGGAGTTGACCCCAGCCTGGCCCCTGCTTTTCCCCTTCCCTTGGCACACAGGCTCAGTGTCCAGGATCCAGCTCTCATGCAGGACCACATGCTGCACCTCTGCTCCCCACAGAGTTCCCAGGGGTGGGGATGATTTAGCAGGACTAACAAGTGTATCTGACCTGTCTCCTCTCCAGCTGTGGCCTGAGGATAGCCGTAATTAGCATAAATTAACATACAATTTAACACCAGCACTGCCCTGGCACCTGACTGAGAGCAGGTCTCCTCTTCCCCAGTCCCTCATCCCCCCAATCCGATGTTCCTGCTCCATGTTCCTGCTCGCTGCTGAGTGCTGCTCCTTGGAAATCCCTTCCCAGCCCGGGCACTGAGCCCGTGCCCAGCTGATGGCACTGGGGATCTCCTCCAGGGCTCCAGCGCAGCCCGAAGGGTTTAGGAGCCACAGGAGCCACCAAGGCCAGCGCTGATGGCACCTCACCCGATTCACTAATTACAACCAGTGGGATTTTCCCTGTGGAAAGCACTGGCAGGATCAGGCCATTAATGGTCCCCTTCTCTGCTGTTCAAATTATTGTGGCAAGCCGGGTTTCTCTAGCTTTTATGGAAATACTGCACATAATGATCCCCATTCACACCTGCTACTTATCTCTCCTTTAATGACTGATCTTGTCACGTTCTCCAGGCACAAACCTGCACCTTGACCTACTTATTTTCATTAATTGGGTGTAAGTTCTGAGTGTGTTTAAGGATTTGTGGGATGGAGACCTGACAACTTAACAGGCGTAATTGCACTTAAAAGTATTTTCATCATTAAAATCTTTTCACCCATCGCTTTTTGTTTCTATTTTAACACTGGAATAATAGCAAGTGTAATTTCCAACGTGAAACCCCAAGTGGAAATCGCTCTGCAAATCGTTTAACTGTGTTTTCATACCTGGATGTTTGATATAATATAAAGATTAACACAATTCTGCAGATGCTGTCTCGTGAAAGAAATAATATATTAAATAGTTGTGCTAAGTACTTAATAAAAGATCAGCAAATGCTTTTGGTGCCTGAATATTGTAGCATCAGGATCAAATCTGGAGTTCCTTATCCACAGAGAATATGGGCCTGGCTGCAGGTTTTGCCTGGACAGCAGCAAGATCACGCTCTGAATGCTAAAAAGGAATACCTAATTTCAAGAAAAATACTCTGAATAGAGATACTTCGTTAAAATCACTTGGCCATTGTCCTTATAAAGTTCCAGTAAAAATAGATCCTGACACATCAGGCAGTATCATCCATCACCACGGGGTAAATTTCACCCACCGATCAACAAAACCATTTTCCTTAGATGCTTCTGCACTAAAAATATGGAGTTTTGGCGGCCAAGTGCCACAAAACTCTTGGCAGTTTCATTTCTGTGAATGAAAAATTGCAGGGAAAGCAAAATTAGAGAGAGATGAGGGCAAATTTGGGAGAAAAGGGACCCACACAGCAGCAGAGGTGAAGAAATTAATTTTGGGAGCGAGGCTTTGAGAAATTACAGCAGGTTTTTGATTAAAACTCTGGCAGCGAAGTGCCTTCCTGATATATGAAAGGAGAAATAAATGGCAGTGTGTGCAAAGTCACCCGTAAAGTCTCGTGGAGTCACGGACTGCTTTGGGTTGGAAATCTCCTTAAAGATCATCCGGTTCCAACCTCCGACACCTTCCACTAGCCCAGGCACTGGAATACTGCTCTTAGCGCTCTCACTTTACTGTTACATCTATCGCAGGTTTCTGGCTCCATCTCAAACGCCAGCAGCGAGTTTGGATATTCTGCACCAGGTCTGGGCTGCGGACTGAATCACGGATTAGTAAAATCCCACAGCACCTTCAGGAATCAGCCACAGGCTCTATCTTTGTCAAACTCTTCAGAGACATCGGGTGTGTTAGAAACTGCCTCGCGGTATACAAAAAATAACCAATAAACAAAAAAAACCCCACAAACCGTTCCTTTTTGGTCTCGCTATCTCGATCACCTACAGAGGGGAAAACTCCCAGGGAAGTTTTCCCTGCCCGGTCCCGGTCCCGGTCCCGGTCCCGCAGCCCAAGGCTTGGGCCGGGCCGTTCCGGGGGCCGCGGGAGCGAAGCCGCAGCGGGACGGCGGAGCTGTGGGGTGCCCCCGACCCCGATATTCCCCAGCGGGGCGGTGCCGGGGCCGCTGCCGCATCCCGTCCCCGTCCGGCGCATCCCGTCCCCGTTCCCGCATCCCGTTCCCGTGCGCCACATCCCATCCCCGTGCGCCGCATCCCCGCTCCCGCATCCCGTCCCCGCTCCCGCATCCCGTCCCCGTGCGCCGCATCCCGTCCCCGTGCACCGCATCCCCGCATCCCCGCTCCTGCATCCTGTCCCCGAGCGCCGCATCCCGGCCCCTTGCGCCGCATCCCATCCCCGCTCCCGCATCCCGTCCCCGTTCCCGCATCCCGTCCCCGCTCCCGCTGCTGCTCCCGCATCCCGTCCCCGCTCCCACATCCCGACCCGTGCGCCGCATCCCATCCCGGTGCGCCGCATCCCCGCTCCCGCATCCCGCCCCCGCTCCCGCATCCCGTCCCCGCTCACCTGCGCCGGGCCAGGGCCAGGGCCAGCCCCACGGGCCGGGCAGCGGCCCCGGTCCCGCCGCCGGTACCGGTGCGGGTGCGGCTCCCGCCGCGGGCCAGCGCGGGGCGGGCGGCGCGGGGCCGGCGGAGGCGGCGGGGCCGCGGCGCGGCGGCTCCCGGGCGAGCAGCGCTTCGATGTGGAACGGGGTCTTGGGGGGCGGCCCGGGCCGGGGGCACGCCGGGCTCTGCAGCATGGCCGGGCCGGTGAGGCCGCCGCCGCTGCCCCGGCCGCTTATATGGAGGGCGGGGGCCGGGACAGTCGCACTGCTATGCAAAGCGGCGGCGGGGGGGCGGCGGGGGCTGCACACACCCCGCTGGCCGCCGGCAACACCCCTGCATACACCCCTGCTTCCCCACGGATACCCCTGCCTGCACCTCTGCTTCCCCACCGACACCCCTGCCTGCACCCCTGCTTCCCCACCAGCACCCCTGCTTCCCAACTGAAACCCCACTGACCCCCCAGTTTCCTCACAGACACCTCTTCCTCCCCACCAACACTCCCAAGGAAACCCTCCTTGCCCTCCAGCTCCTCCATGGGCACCCCTCTTTCCACACCAGTATCTGCATGGAGAGCCCTGCTTCCACAGTGACACCCCACAGATCCATGGAGAGCCCTGCTTCCACAGTGACACCCCACAGATCCCATGGAGAGCCCTGCTTCCACAGTGACACCCCACAGATCCCACAGAGAGCCCTGCTTCCACAGTGACACCCCACAGATCCCACAGAGAGCCCTGCTTCCACAGTGACACCCCACACATCCCATGGAGAGCCCTGCTTCCACAGTGACACCCCACAGATCCATGGAGAGCCCTGCTTCCACAGTGACACCCCACGGATCCCCTGTTCCCACAGACAGCCCCACAGTCACCCCACATTCCATGGCAGTACTCCCACAGAGACCCCTCCTTCCACGCTGGCCCCCCATGGACACCCCTCTTTCCTTGCTGTCACCTGCAGTGTCACCTGCCCTGCATCTTCCCCTACAGTGACCTGTGCTCTTTGCCCACGGACCAGGGCCCTGGCACTCCCTCCTTCCCCAGGGATGCCCATGGATAATGGTTCCTTCCTCATGGAGCCCTACACCAACACCTGTTCCTTGCTCAGCCATCCAAAACAACCCCTAAACTCTGGACACCTCACACAGCGCCAGTCCCCTCCCCAGGGACACCCCCAGGGACACAGACATAGCCCTCAGTCCCATTCCCAAACTCCCCCGAGATCCCCAGGCCCCACAGGAGCCCCCAGAGCATCTCCTCAGGGCACAGCCTCCAGCCCCCAGGCTGTGCCAGCCGTCACATCGTGCCCCTGTGCTGAGGGGAGGGTGTCTGTACCTGTCCAGGTGTGCCACAGGGTGTGGGAACATCTGGGACATGGGACAAACTCAGGAGCTCGCACAGGATCCGAGGTGACCCTGCCCTGGGGACAGAACTGGTGCCATCCCTGTGTGGCACCTGGGAGCTGGGCACAGCCACATGGGCTGAGGATGGCACAGACTCCTCTCTCAGGTGGGATTCCTGATCAAATCCCACCAAATTCTCACTGGAAATTCACTCTGCTGTGTACAAACACAGAGAAACCCCAGAGTCTCCAGGTAAATACCCACAGCAAAAATCCCCTGTGGTTTAATAAGCTGGTTTAACCATCCCTGCATGCACAGGCTCACGGGCCACATCCAGTAAATCCTGCCTTAAACAGGGATTCATGCCATTGAAAGTTTCTTTTCCCTGCACGATGCATAGAAGTAATTATAAAAATCTCTGTATTCTTGAGCATTTCAAAGCAGATGGGAATACACAGGCAGGATTATCCTGCTCCCGAGGAAGCACCCTGGTGATGGCTGCAAGATCCTCAGGGAGGAGGATGCCCACAGGACACAAGAGTCCCTGAAGTTTGCCTTTAAAACACGTTTTTTCCTGCCTTTTAGCATCCTGTCTTCCCCAGCAGCTTCCAAAGAAGTGAATAAATACAGCTGCAGCTTTATTGCTCCTTATCCAAACAGGCAGCTCTGATCCTGCTGCCTGGAACCGGGGCCTTAATTGGAATCACACGTTCAAAGCTGGGCGAGTGCTGAAACCTCTCCCAAAAAAGTCACCTTGGGAAAAAACA